GTATGCCCATTATACGCTAGGTGTCTTTTGGGGGTTTGTCGACAGAGCTGCAGAAGTGGAAGAAACCGCACTTAGAGCAAGTGTTGTTCTCAACAGATGGGGAACGTGAAGATAAAAATCGGATCAAGCTGGATGGAAGGGTTCATTAGCATGCGGGTTCTTAAGTGAGGGACAGTTCAATAATTTTTTTGTAATCTGCGGCCGATGTACGTGAGACTTATGAGTGGTAGATATCTGGGTCATAGCGATAACCTCCTCTGCAGATAGGGAGATATCCGCATGCACTTAAGGAAGGGAATACGTCAAGGATGAAGCGGGAAATAGCTAGTATGGCATGACTTAAACGTTGGCTTGGTTTTTAGGTAGATGCCCTGGCCAAAGCGAAAGAGGAGCTTGGTTCTGACGTGTGGGTGTTCCTCCCAAGGTCAGGCAGTGACTGAGGCGCAGGTATTTTGGTAAAACCTTTGGCAGTGCCTGTGTAGATGTCGGTGAAAACTTCACTAGCGTCTGTTGCTATATTAGTGTGGAGGTAATCCGATGTCTACATAGCTGTGTGAGAGTTCATTTTTTCTTTGGGACCGGAGATGCCAGAAGAATTTTGAAGGGAATTTTGCGTTAGCTGGACCATGTTTGTATTTTGTATTGCTCTATTGTGGTGGCACGTGCACAGATGAGTGTGGGGTAGGTCACAAAGTCAATGACTCTTTCAAAGCTCGTTTAAGGCAATCAGCGTGAAGAAGCTTCCGTATAGCATCTTTTCGATGAAGCATTTCCACGCTTCAGAGGTCGTCTGAGGAGAGAGATCTCATGGTCGAAAAGTTCAGAGCTCCCGAATAGTGTGTGCTCTCATTAATGCGGCGACATAATTGTGGCCATAAGGACACGGAAAAAGGCTTTGTCGGATATAGACGTCGATACTAGGAGGTGAAGGCGGTTCAGGCCCGTTAATGGTTAAGAATATTTGGATAAAAATACCAATTGTTTTTGACGACGATGAGGAGCGAAAGATGAGACAACCAAACAAACGATCCTGCCCCCTAAGTTGGAGGATAAACGAGGGTGATATTAGTGTTTATTACCAATTGGTGGGTCTTATACTTTCAGGCACGTCATAATGTAACAGTCACTGGAAAGGGGATGGTGTCACAAACAATGAACGTTGTCCCGTGTAGGCGTGGTCATCCATAAACCGGCACGCCCTGAAAAGCACAGTTGTTACTTCTTTATTACTTCTTCTTCAGCAGAGTCGTTGTGATCCCGCCGGCCAGTTTGAACTAGAACATACAACCACTGCTGAATCATCGTGGTTTAGGACTGTTGTGTCCATGGCCTAGAATCACGAGGAACTAAGTGGGGACGATGGGATGCAGGGATTAGCAATGAAGATAAATGGTAGCAGAAGTCTCAGTGAAACTGTAGAGACGCCAGGGTGTCCCTGTTTTAGTGAATTGTTGATAACACACGAGCCGAAACGCGAACTTTACAGAAAATTATTGATCTTGTGGGGAGCACGAACCAAAGGTTCACCGAAATAGTTAAATGGTCAAATCCAGACGAAAGACTCAGTGTATTCTTATATTACAGAGGAGTAGCGGCAGTGAATTCGCAGGGCTGGAACAAATTCGGCCACATCCACCGTTGAATGCTAGAGCCATTTGTAGTTTATCGTGGCAGATATTCATCATTTGTGCTGAGGGACCGGTCAGAAAGTACATAACTCTGGTCGTGTCAGCGTTTGAACTCCGCACGTTCTGCGGTGAGGTAACCGTGTTAGATCTACTCCACCGGCGCACGCCGGGCGCATCTGAATAGATATGAGAAGGATTTAGGGGGTGCTTATACGCAGAACTTCCGAGCATTGTCAAGTATACACGAGTATTATGGAAGGGATTACCACCAACCTTGCGGAGTTATCAAGGCAGGCCGCGGGGTGCTATATATATCGATTTAGATTGGAAATTACCTGCAAGAAAAATGACATGCCTAAGGGGCCTATATGCTTCCTAGCTGCTTGGGGTGCGTAAAAAATGGCGCGAGAAAATTTTGTAGCCAAAGGTAGCCTTGATGACCACCATCTGTGTTGTCATCCCATCTATCACACATTTCTGGATGCAGTAATTTTCACCCATTGTATCCTCACCTAATCCCTGTAGCATACGTCATGAGAAAGGAGCGCGGATCGTAACCACTCAGTAAATTTCAGATACCGTAAAATAATCTACATGGGATAATTCATGTCATTTGCAACAACAACGCTCGCGACGACCGTGGAAATTATTTACGGAGCTATATTTTGGGTGCGAGCAAAATCTATGCGGCTGGAGTGACCGCCGCCATATTCTACTACAGATACAGGACATTCCTAACGTTTCGCAAGAAGTAATGGGGTTAACTAATTGTTGTTTATGTACTCCTTCAAGACGCTCTCCAATGCAACAACGGATAAAAAACTTCTTTACAATATCCTCTATCGAACGTACCGGTGGGTCATGTTTAGCCATGGTAAACAATATACCATGAACTCCGCGCCCATGGAGCACATGTATAGATGTTTATAACAAATCTACGGCCGTTTTAGAAGTTGGAAGCTTTCGCATAATTGTCTTTACACGCAAAAATGTGTTCAAATTATGGCTGAAGAGAAAATTTAGGTGTCCGTCTAAGGATCGGCGCTAACACCAATGAAAGTGTTCAAAATCCTGGTGGTTTTCGACCTTAGGGATCCGCTCATTTACGCGTATCGCTCTCATAAAAGAGTCGGTGAAGTACACCTCCGAACGGACATAAAATTATCAAGGTCTCGCACGCAAAATATGCTATACTTTCGAAATAAATATTTTCGCTTTGCACCTGGAGGTTTACGATCAAACGTGTATGCTAGACAGCATCCGGAATTTTTCAAGTCCTGGACTAATTTTCTTGGCTGTGTACTTAATGTGCGCATTCTTTTCGTGGTAATGTTCAAAAGACAGATGAAGACGGCTAGTCATCCAGACATCTTTTCTTATCGCCGACATTTCCCGATATTTTTCTCACCATATATTACGAGTGCGTTTTCTGACGTTACGCCGAACGACGAGTGCACGTACCTCCGAGCTAAGGAAAGGTTTTAATCTGATACAGGCAGCAGTGTTATCTCCAAGAGTCGGCAATGGAAACAATCAAACAGTAGAATTCAAGCTGAAATCCAAGGGTTGTACAGAACATCCCTGAACAAGTGGCGTTTATGCTCCAACTCCTTCGCAAATGCGGTGATGTTTTTCGAGGCTTAGTTTTGAAAATAGATCCAACTGAATATCCAAATAAGGCAACATACGCTTAACACACGGATTAATTACTGAAGATTTTGTGCGTGCAATGAAACACGGGTTAACTTGCAGTCAAAATGTTTACATTTTGCAAGTCGATTGGTGTCGAGTGAGAACTATTGGATGATGGTAACGAGGAGGATTAAAAGGAGAGAAAACCCTCGAATATAACTTTCCTGGCAAAGTATCGAAATACAAAAACGCGTAGCGTAGATAAAGCAGGGGTAGCCAAGCAGTCACGTAATGGGAGAGACGCAGGAAAGGTATTAGTCTACGTCAATGGATTTTTAAGGGGAATTTTACGATAGTAAGTTAGACGAACGGGTAGCTGAGGCAGCAGGCTTCCGAGAGTACGATGACAGGCACTGAGGCGCCTTAAGTAAAACACAGGTCTTAAATTTCAGCTTCAACCGCACAAATGATTACAATCAGTTCTATGTTTTGATGTTGTTGCATTTTAAAAGGAGCCAGCTGGAAGACCACTGAGGCGTATCCTTTGTCTAGGCTAGGGTGAATATCAGCTGATGCGAATTAAGTTGCTCCGTACCGCGTAAGTGGACCGCTGGAGAAGTTTATCTTAACGGTCAAAAGTCCCCATTCGACAGCGCAGACGGCGGTGGGGACCTTCCTCAACCGCTGAAGCGCTACAGAGTCGGATCTGGGCCAAATCCCCAGCTACGTCTGTGAGATACTATTAACAACTCGGTCTATTGAGGATATGAATTGCACGTCCTATAATGTGTGCAGATACTTGCGGGCAAGCCAGTTTTATGGCTTGGAATTTTGCTCAGGGTAACAATTTGGCACAAATACAATCTGGTACAAATACAAACTAACCTGTCCAATTAACGGTGAGGAAACAGTCGGAGTCAGCCTCATTAAGTGATTTGTTTTGATGCTTCTCTGACATTCAGTCGCGTTGTGCGAACTATGTTATGATTATCCAACACATTCACAAAGTTAAATTTTCAATTCCTAGGGAAAAGGAAATCGTCTTTGGATATAAACACACTACTTACATTCGAAGTCTCTTAACGTTGTTGCTCAACAGCCTGTGGAACATATTCCTTAGGTACGTATTTTATATAAACTTGGATCAACGCAGCATTACATACACAAACGTAAGCGGAGTACAAAATTCGAATATTGATCAAGTTTTCCACTTTCGTCGAAATTAGAGTTTAGTGATGCTTACATCAGTTTTAGAACTGCGGAGGCCTAGAGGGTTAATTGACACACTGAAGCCGTGAGCTACTCCTGAACCATAACAAACATCGTGTGGCCTCCAATGTTAATCGTGTTGGATTCCCGGAACAAAAAGCAAGCACGACATCTTGACACTCCCAGGGGAGTTGCCCGATGGAAAGTGCGAAACGTCCATTCAATACTTTGACAGGAGATTGCCCAAAACGATTGTCCACGCTGCCCTGAAGACCCAGTTCAGAGCCATTTTGGGTGCGTTTTTGTGTTCTTGCGGTGGCAGGCCTAATATCCAGCACCGAAAACTTTGAGAGCTGTGATACACTCACTTCGCTTGTTGCATCCGGACAAACAGAAGCTACCGAATGATAAAAGCAAACACTATCCGGACATCCCGTGTAAAAGTCTCAATCCTGTTTAGCAGTCTGTGGCTCTGTAAACGAGTTGAAAGAAACGAATAAGAAAAACCCTGCCACTTGCATCTTTTTAAAAATGGCTAGACAGAAAATAGAAGTGTTGGATGAAACGGAAACTCCTATTCCAGGTGTTGCAGCCAAATGTTATCCTCAAGCAAGGCGTAACATGCGAACCTTCGAGAAGGCGAAAATAAAGTCGGATCTGGGTTTCTATTCGGTATTATCAATGTAAGACAAATTCACAAATTATACAAACCTCGACGGCTGATACTCGTCCACAATAAATGGTGCACTTAGACTATAGAATCACAAACCGAAGTAGCAAACAAGTCCCCACGCAAGAAACTATGTGAGACATTATGTATTTCGTTAATTGCCTTAATGTCGTCTGAATACGCACAAAAATACAAAACCGCGCTTGTGCACAATTACACACAATACAAATGCAGTCACGTGCTTTGTCTTCCACTTCTGATCTTGTTTGCGCCCTCGGCGGTCGTTCGTGACTTTCGTGTGCTAACTTTGGTGTTAAAACGCCTCCGACTAACCTGGGATTTCATTTTGTCCGGGAACTGTTCAAAAGAAGATTCTTTAAAAACTGTATTTGGATTGTTATTTATTCGGCGACCTAGGCCAACGGCGAACTATTTTAAAACAAACCATTCTGAGAGTGTGCTCCATTTGACCCTTTATCATTGTATGCTCAATCTGGCGTTGGTATTTTTATTTCTTTGCCACGCACTCCTGGCAAAGTAGCTTTCAGGGTGGCCAGGCCACCACAAGACAGTGACGCGTGCACGTCAGCCAAAAGTGATTGGATGACTTCAAGGCCAAATGAACGATTTGGTCGGGACAAACAAATGCGGATCATGTACATACAATAAACATAAAGGAGAATGTTAAAGGTCAAAGCAACGACGATACACTAGGAATTCTACTAATATAGCACCGAGTGAGGTGATTGTAAAGGCGGTTCTGGACATTGCTGATTTCGGCACCGTTGCGGAGGATACATCAGTCGTTCCACCGCAGACCCAGACCGAGCCATCTAGGCCACTGCAGGCAAAATTCGAAACCACTTCAGCGGAGATCGAGGGGATATGTTACGCCAAAATCTGAACAGATACCGCTTCATCGCTCGCAATCAGGCGCTGCCACGGCCAAAGGGCCTGGGCAGCACGTGACTGGTCAGAAAATGGAGGCATTCACCGTCCATCATCAGAGCGACCTCTGACTCGCCGAAGGTGTGGACTCAACAGCCAAATATGACCCAATATCCACCGAATGCCAGCTGTCAGTACCTCATCAAGAAGGCGTCATAATTTTCAGAATGTTGTCGCCGCATACAGTTTATACATGACATGCAGCACGTGCTTTTGTCTTGGTTTTTGGGGTTATTTACGTTGGGCGCCTTTGGTGGCGGTTTTGGCGGGAACGCTAGCTTGGGAGGTTCAGAGGCGTCCCAAGCTGAGGCATTATTTTATTTAATTCCGTTTTTAGTTCACAAGTGGGTAAAATGTATTTAGTTTCATTCAGAACAGCCAACATGTAATCCTTGAATCTTGCATACTGTGATTACGAGCAGTGCTCCTAGACACGGCACTACTAGTTTGTCCTGCTGGGAGAAATTTGTTATTGTGTTGAGGTGAAACTTTTCCTGTGTGATTACAAATCAGTCATCCGTAATTCTAGCTTCTTGTCGGGAATGTATGACAATTCATTGACGGCAAGGCACTGCCGCACCCAGTTTGATAGCATACCCGCAACTGTTCACTTCCCACTTTGACTGTGCCCCATTGCCCACTCGTTCCCTTGCCTGAAACAGCGAGCAAAGTTTCACCTAGCACCAGCCACCTCCTAAGGCGTTCGTTCATTCCAATCTGCGGAACCTTCCGCTGACTCTACACATCTCAGTGACTTTTATTATATACTGCTTACCGAGTCAGTTAATTTCCGTGCATTTCGCTTTCCGTCTTGGGCGCGTTCATGAACTCTTTCTCCCAAGGAACTTTTATACCCGACTCCGCTCCATCAGCAACACCAGTGGGTCTCTCCAGTTTCACTGCGCACTGTGGTTCTGAGTTTCCCACCACCATTTATCTGAATTGCATGTTTCCCCACTTCACCATCCACGCTTACGATTTCCGTGACTCTGGCTATAAGCCCAAAAGCCCAAGATTACGAAGAACTCAGTGACGGTTTTAGGCTTTGGTCCAAACTGGCCGGCCAGATTGTAGCAGTTAAACTGCCTATCCGGATCCGCCATTTCGGTTCCACAGTTTCTGCAGTTTGAAGTTTTTATCACATGTCAGGCTGGAAGTCCCTTGTTATGCCATCCCTTGTATTGTATTGGCCGCCACTTTCAAATCTTGAAGATCTGATTTTGTCTCATCTGATAAAACGAAAGAATCCTTGTAATTTCGGTCCTCTGCCCATGCCGGCTCACGCATTACCAAGTCTACATCGTATAATCCTAATTGTTTTTATCGTCATTCCTTTTCCGCGTGATTTACAGCACCCTCGAACCCCACCAGTTATGCCTTTATTCTGACTGTAACATTGTGATCATTCCTGAAGATATACCATCCACAAGTTGGGAGTAAACATTATTGTTATATATGGAATGCTTATCAGTAATTTGGAATCACAAATATTCCTAATGCGTTTGAATGAAAGCGCTCAGTAGTTGAGAAATTTCGGGGTATGATGTAAAACAAACGGAGTTTATCTTGGCAATCATTCTAAGTCCATGTCGTTATGGGGGTCAAATTGGAACCCCCCACAATGGATACAACAATTGGACAAATTTTCTGCTGAATTATACAATGTAATAGAAATGTCGAAGAGTCAAACGAGGCTGTTTTAAAGCCAGAATACACAACTGAGTAAGCGCATCAATAGATGCGTTGGGACTATCCAACAAGACAGAGGGTTAGGTTATTCGACTGCAGAGTAAATAGGACAGTACTTGCAAAAAATGAAACAAGGAGCTACTATCAATGCTGAGTGAATTCACCTGTGATCACCCGCTTTTTAGTTAGCAGGTGAGAGTATATGCAGACACCAACACCTACAATAGGGAAGGATTATCACAGAGCCCCGGAAGCCGTTTGTGCGTCCATTCTCAAATCTTGACCACCTACATGGACGAAGTGTTCAAACTTGAAAGATGGAATAAATTATAGCCTTAGCTTTTATGCACATCATAAACAACCCAGCGACGCTAACAGTTCGGTGCCGTTTGCACGAAAACGCTCTGCGATTTCTTCGCACAGCTATGTTGTTGCCAAACTACGAAATAAATGTCTGCCATGGATGATGTTGGGACCTAACGAAAAGAGGGTTATGCTGGTGATTCGCAATCCCATTCTTGCGCAAAATGACCAGGACAATACTACACTTAGCGGTATTTGAAGGAGATAATTATTTGTCCTTCACTAGATTATTTATTCCTTCATACCATGAAGTAAACTTATTAGCACGCCAGCTGAAGAATTCTTCTATGGATGTGCCGACTGGAGTTTGCGAAATAAATTCCCTCTGCTAATTGTGATCTCCCTCTTATAACACAGGTAAAAATTCAAATTCTGACATGGATATCTTCAACTAGGCCGTCAGAAACAGATGTAGCAGTGTAGTACTGCATGACCTTGATGTGTCTCATGCTAACGAGTTCATTCTTTGGCCGATAGCCAGGCGGGTTAAGTCGTTATTCCCAGACACGAATGCGCAAAACGCAAATGTAGGGGGGCATTCAGGTATCAGTAGCGGGCTTGGCTTGGGTAGATCTGGATGCAGCCAACCATCATGTACCCCTGTATGAGCCAGTGTCGTTGCTTTTGGGGCAGCTCCATTTGGTGCGGTAGGAAAAATCAGCGGTATGATTGCACGCTGTAACTTTATTGAGTGTGCGAATCTAGCGCCCTTGGAGAATCCGGCAGCAACCTTTGAAAGGAATAAGGCCTTCGCTGCGCAGTTATTTATTAGAAAATGCCAACTGACCGGTTACAGGCTTTTGGACAGGGAAGCAAAACTCTCATTTCCATCTTCTCCCGAACGCGTCTTCTTGAACTTTCCTGGATATTCATTGACTTTAATCATTCATTGGTCAAATCCAAGCAAATGGTACAAATCGGCTCCACAAATTCTACGACACATCTCTCCTTTTCAAGAGACGCGAAGCGAAATAACACGAACAACACATACTAGTCGCATGCCCCCATCAATAGTATCACTGTTACACCTTGATCGGATTACATGATTGCGGTATGGTGATTGATAAAGAACACAAGAGTGAAGCAGAATAACTCCACAGTACCTTTTTGACTATGAATGGTCATTTCATCCTTCAATGGCACTCAAGTGTGGTGTTGCTTAACGTGCAGAAGTGGCTCGTAAGTAGGTAGGATCTTTAGGCGCAATCACAGTGGCACATAGGAGATAACTTCCCGAGTCAAAACTGTTAACTCAGGATGCACTGTACGAACTACCTACTTGACTTCTCAAATGAGTTATTTTGCAACGTTTATCGTGCTTATATCACAAAAACACAATTCATCCATTCAAGAATTCCAACCGACCCCCTATCACCAGAACTCGCATAGAAGAATGTTGCTAAATCGTCTTAGAAATTCCTACTCGATAACCATCCACGTGGTTCTTACACACGAAAATCAAGAACGCAGGTTTAATCCCAAAAAGCGAAGGTTTTGGCACACGAAAATACGGGACAGCATTGGGAGTCCCCAGAAGCATGGCACTGGGTCACAAGCTCAATTAGCTCGGTTTTATCTTGGCTATATCATCTTTGATTACTCACATTACCTTTGAATATCGCTTGCTGCCTCCACTGTTCTAGTATGAACTCTTGAACTGTAGGATGGTTTTGCATAAAACGCGTTTCAAACTCTGGCTTTAGGTAGGAACTTTGGTTCAAAAAATATATATTAAAGGAACGCTTCAACTCACGATGTACATCAAAAGCGTTTGCTTAACTGTATTTAGGGGTGAAAATTGGAATCATTTGGTAATGAGCAGATACGATGGACATTTTTACTAGGGATAAGCTCCTTGAGTAGCGCGTCAGACGTTTATAGCGTCCAGGTGCTCAGTTTGAACAGCACAAATTCATTCGGCTATTCCTGAAATGAGTATTTCAGACCACGTAGTACGAACTGAAATTCGAACTGAAAAGTCGAAGGTTGCAATAAACTGTCAACCACCTAATTACTAGACGAGTGTCCTACCATCTTAGCTACCTAGGACGCTTACGTTTGTACGCCTAAGCACAGTGTTACCTTTTCTTTAGAGTTCTGAAGAAACCGCTCAACTTGTGAAAAAGAATACTAGCAACGAACCCTCTGTTACGGTCTCATCGACTACAGGGGATTCTGTTTCACAACAAATGATCAAAGCGTTTTATTTCATTGCACTTTTGACAGATTTTGTGACAAGCAACTTTGCAATAAGAACTAACGAAAAGCGTTTGGTTAACTACATCAAGCATCACCAAGGAAGAAGGGGACTGAAGCACTGAAAAGAGGCATAATATTGGTTGTTATACGCAGATTTTGCCACGAAACGAGCATGTTTTTGGAGGTGAGGGGATGAGGGAAGACACATATGTGTTCACTAGTGCACCTGACGAATTAAATGCTTTTTGGTGGGGATGGTTAGAAGAGGGAAAAACAAAGATGGTGCATTTATCAGATGATTACAGGAAAGGGGTTACATATGTTAAATAGTATTATTCACGTTAACTATTGGATATTGACGGATGGCAGAGGAAGACGAGTTTGAAAGGCAGCAGGGTAAAATGCATGTGACGCCTCAGGGTCCAACGAAGCCTTACGTCCACTGCATAAGAATCAGCCAGTGTTGTGTTTGCTTGTCAACAGGAAAGTATAGTCTATTCAAGTAAACCGAGGTATTCAAATGGGGGACGAAATGTCGGTCGTCTTGAAATCAATGCATTTTCGAGACTTGTTCAGTTTTCTTTTCTGTGCAATACAAGTAGGTCAGCTTCTTTCCACTAGTGAGCCATAAAAACCGAGATGAAGGGGTCATTGTTTTGTGTGCCTTGGGCTATAGTTTTAGGGGACATTTCTACGAAGTGCAAATTTGAAAGTTGCAGAGCGCTGATCGATTCTCGGAATACTTCACTAAAGCCACAGTGTGGACTTTGAGGAACTGCGAGAATCCGAAGTATTACTGGTGCACTTTGACAGAGGACTGCTTCAGAAGATGATTGCGGTGAATTCTGATTTCAGAAACGAAAAAGGGCATTGGATGGGATTGCGGATAGAAGGCGAATGGAGGATAACTAGGATTTCCCCACTGACTCAAAAATACAAGAATGCTGCCAATCAAACCACATTGACAACGAATGGACTTCCGGGGACATGCTGATCACCCCACTTGATCATGATCAGATGTTGTCCACGATCTCGCACCAAATAGTTTACGGCATATTGTCCTAATCCGAGATGCTTTACATTCACTTCTTCACAGGCCACAACTGGTCCGGATACTCCAACGTAAAGAACATCGCGACCTAAAATGTAAAGTAATTTAAGAATTGTGGATTCTGTGCGTGTGGCAGCGGAATCAAGACAACTGAGATGTATAGCTCTAAAATGAACCTCACACTTTTGCTGTACAATGTCGTCGAGAAAGCACAGAAAACTCCGAATTTGGGAGCATGTTCGGAACCTAACTCGTAGAAAATTTCGGATTAGCATCTAACGAAAGTTTCACACTTGGGCCACTCACCAGCTTGGGTAGCATTCACGTTGAACGTGTTGGTCTGATTCAGAAAAGCCTGATGCAAGCCACTTCCGGTACAAATGACCTTATCAGGTCTGGGTTCGGTTACCGACCTTTGCGGTCCGGTGGCAAAGCGGCTGCCAGTTTCGACAACCACGTGTGTGGTATCCGCGGTATAGATATCTTGCACTGCATCTCCAGTCACATAAGCCTGATTGGACAAAAGATTTTGGAACGGAAAACAAAATGTGTGTTAGGAGGCCATGAAGTATTTACCAGATAACTCCCGTTGACCAACACGGCCGATTACGTTGGTCTATTTTTGCATATCGGTTCATATAAGTAGTGCAAAATTACCATCGTGCTATGCATTTGATTAGCATGAACTCGGTGGAGTCGGGGGGTGTCTCGATAAGAAGGGTGGTCATCTTCCAGCCCGTCTAAATGAGGTTGCAAAATTAGACTTTAGTAGTTCCGAGAATGCAAATCGCCTGGAATGTGACCGATAAATTGTATTGGTTCTATGGAGATTGATTGTCCACGCGTGAATAGTTCGTATCATTATTAGCTACTTTCAACGGCTGAGTAGTCAGTGCAATTAGGTAACTGGTGGGAATGTTACAGTTTGGACATCGCTCGGAATGCTGATCGTATCCCTTAAACAGGCAGATATTGTAGCACAATCAGGGAGTTTGTGATACTTATTTTGTTAGGCGTTGTGTAAGCTAGCTTACTAGAAGCAGTGAGACTGTCGATATTGGAATTAGCACGATCGGACGACAGTATCAGTTAAACGTCTTGCCTAATACCAGGAACAGGCTACCGAGCCATATAACTGTGGCGTATCTAGAAATTGTGTGAATTATTGATGCCAAATCTAACTTATCATGGCAGTTCACACTCCGCTGAGGAACGAGGGGACATGGCTGAAGCGCTTGATTTGCAAAGCGAGACATCAGCATGATTATGGTTGGGCGCCGCTATGAAGTATCCATGAGATTTGGTAAACTTTTTGTGCTAAAAAAGTGATTGTCTGATCATTTTAGTGGCGGTATTCAAACTGGAATTCACCCAGATGGGTGTGTGAGTGAAGGAGATCTTATAAATGCATAAAATCTGCATGTGTAAGCAAATATCAAAGTAATAAATAAGGTGGATTGGGTTCTGGACCTTCAAGTTATCTTACCTTGAATGGTGAGCCGATTATGTGTCGCTGGTCTCCATGCCTGATGTTGATCATATAATCGCCAGGAGCCAGTGGCAGGTAGGTAAATTCATAACCATCCGGACGTTCCGTGCAGTTTAATTTTACCTTGCTGGGACCATCGACTGTGACCGAGAGGGCACCGCTTCCAGCTTGTGTAGTGTTGACAAAGAAGCGATTCTTCTCACCTGTGCAATAGATGGAATAAGTCAGTTACCCGTATGGGAGTGGCTGATCATCAGCCCGTAGGTTGCGCTGATGTAATGTTTTGACTTATCAACAGGCGAGTGATGTGGACCTGTCTGTCATCTGAATCGTGTTGCCTTATTGCATCTTTTTTCGAAACGTAATGCTGGTGTGAACCTTGGATAGATCATATTTGTTGCTGGGTTGCCCTGTTGAAACGAAGGGCTAACGTTAGCATGGGTATACCCTTCAACCGACAGTCCAATAAAGTGTAGAAAATTTAAGTACGATTGGTGCTCTATTCTGACAAACCGTTTATAGTCCTTCACATGAACCTTCATTATTCCAGTCCAGATGTTATGCTCTTTGTTTAGATCATAAGATACACTCTGAGTGCGTGCCGTTGATTGCTATATAAGTAATTTGCTCACATACTGAATAAAGGAACGCAGTGCCACGGCGGTCCGACGTCTGGTGGTGAGGTAGTGCTCGTTTCTGTTTCCACAAACATGGGAAGGAAAAATTCTAGCCTAAATGACTCACCAACTCTCCCGTGTGTCAAGCCTTCCCCACTCGCAGTTACAATCCCGAGATCTTCTTGGCCGACAACTACGCGGAACGGGCTTCCTGGAATTGGTCGTTCATCCATCAACACATGGACAAGATGCGGTCCATTTTCTTGTGGTGTAAAGCGTACACCATGCTGATCGATGTCGACTTGGTGAACGTAGGCAGGGATCTGTACTCCAGACGGAGATACTGCGTAAGCTCGTAGAGTGCCACTCATGCCAGTGTAGTTTACTGTAAACGCCGTCGGCCGACCGATCTGGAAATACAATGGTGTAGGGGTTAGAGTATGTTTCATTTGAATTTGGCTTAATGGAAGCTAAGCCCTGAAACATCGTGGTTTTTTTGCAGTGAACTAAGGAACTGGTACCTGCGATTTTGAAATTAAATCTTCCACGAGTTTAACAAATACGAAGGAAAGCAAGTGTTATAGCTGCGGCACTCATACAGAGATTTCGCGCAAACAGGAGCATTGAATCAGATTTCTCGTCACACATCCATACAAATTCAACCGAATTCATTAAGAGTAAACGCGCTGACGCTTCAAATTTTTTTATTGAGCATTTGTTCTGCATTTTAAGATTGAATCAGGGTTGGTGAGCGTTAATGTTAGTAACAGGCATTTCGGGCCTTCCTCTGCGTTTAGTGTACGTTTGAATTAGATAATGGAGTATGGGAGCAGACTGACCTAGTGCCACTGTAATATTCCGTAAAAGTCTAACATCGGAGCTAGTTAGTAGCATATCGAGTGACTGAAGTGCTGTTTGGTCGCGCTGTTAATAGCTAAGCAACTAAAGAAATACAGAGGCGACTGGGATCATGAGTGTCTAGCGTCATCGTCCGATAGATTGGGTGAAGACAGCTGAATGAGTCCTCGGTCTCGTTGGACGAAAAGTTAAGACAAAAATACTAGGAGAACGGAAACTTAGAATGAACACTTTGGTCCTGCCACAAACAACCCGTGTTTCTACTGACGCACACACCTTAGCCCGTGGACTAAGGGAACATGTGATGATGTGTAGTTATTTTTGGGTTGCGTTGGAACTGCTTGCCCTAACATAACATAACATGATAACGGAGCAGACCATGAAATCACAGCAACACAAACTAGGAGATGCGTGCATTCGGCCCTTTGGTCGTATGGTCAACATGGTGATAGGCTAAAACCATCGTGACAAAACATTCCGACAAGGGCAAAGTCAAAAGTGCTTTGATGATAACAAAACTGGTTTGCTTTGACAGTGTTATTAGTATTACTATTATTATCGCTACCGACTATTGACACAAGACACTAAATTAAGCAAAAAGGACTGTTATGCAAGTACAAAAGAAAAGTGCACTGATAGCCTATGTGCCAGACAAATATACTGTTCAATCAATCTCGGTTAAATTAATGCATTAAAAACAACAATTTGGCATCAAATTATCATGTTGGCTAGGAGAATTTATTCCGTAGGTTTTTCATGCTATCCCCCGCAACCATTCCAGATTTATTGGAAAAGAAGCGTGGTTTGTGGTAGCTCGACAGAAGACCGTGTGACGTTTGGTTCTTCTGTATATTTTCTTCTTCCGTCACTCGAAGGTGTAACCTTTCAGGAGCATAGTTGTCATGCAACCTGAAGACAGCACAGGGGCTTTCAGGTTACCGAAATCCAGAGAAGGACGGAAGAGCAGCATCTCCGCGCCTTAACCGCCCAACTCTGAGATGGTAATAGCCGATTAAGCCATTTCGGAGTCTACACTAATTACCGCCAACTGAGGGTGCGATACAAGTTCCATCGGCGATAGGCTAGGAGACTGAAATGAGATTCGCAATTTCAGCTAATCCGATTGTCCTCACAACTGGGTTCGTTTCTTTCGTGTTGCTGGCAGAATTGTTTGAAAAGGTGTATTTCAGCAACGGAACAATTTGACAGATGTCTAATTTGGTTCATCGCGTCACAGTTGACTCTATGTGTGAATGCGCGGATCAGAATCTAGCGAGGTAGTTATCGATGCCTCGACGTATTTCGTTCAGCTCCTCAAAGTCAGTAGTTCCACATGCAGGGAGGTAATGAAACTACGGTATAGCTGACTTGTACGCAAAAGAACCGTTTTTTGGTGTACACATTAAGCTTTTCACATTAGCCTCCCATTCTCGGGCTTAGGTTTTCGAAAGTGCCAAAGGTTATTCTCGACAAGCATAACATTTTACAGCCGAGATCGAGTGCTTGCCATGTGTATTGCAATGTACTGCATTGACGATCGACTTGTTTGTATTCGAGCTGCTCATCAATAGGAAAAAAGGACATATCTTTTCCTCATAACCTTCCGGACATAATGATATCCACTGCTGTGCACTACTCATAGGGTTGCTGAAAACTCATGGACAGCTCACGACCGGTTTCACCCTTCTTGAGGCTCATCAGCTGGGCACAGTCCCCAAGTTTCCGTCAACTAGAAACTAAACTGCACGAAATTAGCGAACTACACTCATTTGCAAACAAATCTGGTTTTGCGAGAGACTCACGCGGAACGCAGCTGAATCTCTCGGTTTTGGTGTTTCCAGAGATTCAGCTGGGTTCTGGGTGAGTCTCTCGCAAAACCAAATTTGTTTGCAAATGAGTATGTTTCGCTGATAGCTACTGTTCTCCATCTCAATGAATACACGCTCATTTACTGGTTGTTTATCGTTGTAAATAACTTGACAAACAGTACTCGAAACGCGAGAGACGGAAACTTTTGGCTCAGAGCGATCAGGTGGCTGGGCTCAAAGGGGCTGAGCTAAGATATGCCTCAGAAATAGGGCTCCCTAAGTAGCTTTCCGCAATGACTATGTGATATTTTGGTTCAAGTGTCAAACGAATCAGGAGCGCAAGCCGTGCTGTGCCTGGCGGGCAACAGCTGTCTGAGACAAACGGATCTGCTCAAATCTTGTTTGACGTTCATCTTGTGACCTTTCTTGAAACTAGGCCATTGTATCAGCTCATTAGTAGTCTGAACCCGTTTACCTAAATGTTTGAGTCGGGCTGATTTGTGTGTGTGAGAGAGAGATATAAGGAGCAGAATTCTGGCATTCAGCAGTGCAGTGGCTACTTGAGAATATTTTCCTAGGTCTTTTGGGCTTACTGACTTTCTAGGTTGGGCGTGCTTCTCCTTAGTGTACCTAACTACGTGTCATGAGAGCTTCAGAACTCCTTTAATACTCCCAACCGTTTCTTGTTGAGGGCTTTTACTCAATTATAAAGGCAAGCTGAGTTGGGTGCACACAAACCAGACCACTAGTTGAATGGCCGCGATAAACGCGCGCCGTGTGTATTAAGGGTATACGCCACACGGAGAGTCACTGAGAGAATATTAAGCAGTATGCGTCCAGCACTCCTTCTGGCTTGATAAGTTCGAATACAAGTCAAAACATGGAAGGAAAGACAAATACTTGGAGAAATCATATGACTGGCCTTTCGTCAACGAAACAGGTACCCTATTGCCTGAACTGCCTCAGATCACACTGATGGGCTTTGAATTCACTCGCAGGGAACATGTGAGAGGTCAACGATTCGATTCGACTCAGCCTGTCTGTCCTCGTCTTTGTGTCGTAGCTCCGTAAGGCTTCCTTGTTCGAAGCGATTTCAAGGTGTGAATTGGTGTGCGCATGTGTTGCTACTCCCGTGAAAACTTTATCAAGACCGAAGCTGCCGCAGTTTGCCAATTATCAAACTCAATAAGAATGGCGAGTCGTGCACAAAAAGCGAACAACAAAGACACAGTTGCCTTTCGGCCACTTCTAGTTTGTACAGAAGCCTGCTTCAGGTGGCAGTCAACTACCCATAATCGCCCAGTCAAAGACGGCATAGACCTTAAAATACTTCATTTAGTAAGTCTTTCGTCAACTCTCCAAAGAACTGTTGTTCTTTGATAGTGAAATGCAAACGCGGTGCAGCTAAAATGCAACTAAGAGATTAATTAACACGGGGCTCCTTGGCCACACAACGCGCTTAGCTGCAAAACTTTTCGAGTGGAATGAAACTTTTTACGCCAAAATGTTGCGCTTTGTTGCGTATGTGCTCGCACCAAAAACCATCTTAATATCCGTTCATATTTTCCCAGCTCACCAGATTTCATTGTCCACTGAAGTAATCATACCTACGGAAAAAGTCTAGTGGAATACTTTCCTAGCATCGCTGGGACCCCGGGGTACGTAGATGAAGATCAGAAGTTTGGACTCATACCTTGAACTCAATTGCCTGTCTGTCTTAGTCTATCAGGGACACACCGTATCTTTCTAGAATTCAATTCATTGTGCGACTACTGAGCGCCATTCACACGGAAGTAAAAATTCACGTGTATCTGCAAACAGTTGCCAACCAGTAGCAAAGATAGCTCCAGGAACCTGGGTAAAGATACTGAACAGACCGATTTCCCCATTCTCCCATTTTGGAGTGCGTGGAATTTCGGTCTAAATTCACGATAATTCCCCCATTCCTTTGTTTACTCCGCCTATGTAATTTTTATCTCTACTTGTTTTGCTCATTTGTACCAGCCACTCACCTTGCCACAAAGGCCGTCCCGTGTGTGTTAGCGTGAATGTGTGTGGCTGACCTACTTACCCACGCGTGTTCGAGCCCCGTTTGCTGACCTTGCCCTGACTTGTTCTGTCACTACAGAGCCCACATTCCGCCCGGCGTTGTTTGGCTTGGTGACCTTGATATTGCAATGCGAAGGTCAGTGATAGACCTGAAAACTTGTTGACGCCACGAAAGTGGACTATTGAGGTTTACTGTGTAACTTTGCTCACATTTGTGCAAATAGTACCGTGGACTTTCGAGCCCAATGCTTCCTTTTGGTTTTGGGATTGTCAAACCTACACCACCTCAACATGGACGCATTTGCCATTAAGATTCACATTCTGTGTAAGTAGATTTAAGACCTAATTTACGATCAACACAAACGGTAAATTAAACTGCGAAATGAACTGGAGAGAATGCTGAGGGTTGTGGCATTATCGGATGTCTTAAGTGGATCTTGGCATCTCTCTGTGATAGATGTAGATCGCTGGAATAAGCGTAAACTCAAAAGCATACCTTATTTCTTTGGGTCTAGCTTTTACCCAGCTTGGTCGTGAGGATGACCGTTGTGATTCATAGAAAAGGAATTTTTATTCGATTTTCATCCCTATTCTGACGGTCTGATATAAGTATGTTGTAGTCTCAAACAGTCAATTGGTCGCACTTCAGGCGTTCATGATGTAATTATTGTGCATGCCATATCCGAAGGAAAACCGACTTTCGTAAGGTGCGCTCTTTTTGCCGTTTGTGGATAGACCCCACTGTCTAAACATCAAAGTGAGTGAAACGACACCGTAGTCGATAAAGTCTGTCCTCCAAAAGTCAGGCCATTGATGTAATAGGGGACAACATAAAGGAAACTACTCACAAGGTTGCTGAAAACTCTTCGACAGCCCAGGGCCGGTTTCGCCCTTCTTGGAGCTCATCAGGTAGGCGCAGTCCCCGAGTTGCCGTCAACCTTATGATCTACTTGAACCCAAATTGGACCGGTCGTGGGCTGTCGAAGAGTTCACAGCAACCTTGTGAGTGGTTTCCTTTATGAAAGTATACAGTGATATCGCGAATATCGTGCCAACTGTAACATGAGGAGGCCTGTGTGCAGCACATTCAGTTGTACATATCATAAAACGAGAGATTCAGTTGGGTCTCTCGTGAAAACCAAATTGATTTGCAAATTAATGTAGTTCTCGCAAACAGTCCAATTGGGGTTCAAGTAGAAAATAAGGTTGACGGAAACTCGGGGACTGCGCCTACCTGATGAGCCCGAAGAAGGGCGAAACCGGTCGTGGGCTGTNGGATGCAACATTTCATGAAACAAAACTTAGGGTTGACCTCCCAAAAACAAGCCACTCATTTTCCCTACATTCTTGTTTTAGTAAACTAAGGTTTTGTCTTGGTTATGCAGAGCCAGTGGGAAACTGCGCATCAAATCATCACTGTGAGGGTTATTTATGGAACCAGGTGAACTGATCGCTTTTCACCTCAAAGTGGTAGTGTCAGTTTGGTGTCTGATTAGAAACCCTTTTGTCGTTTAGGCTTTCCAGACCGTGATGACTTGATTTCAGACCGTCATTTATGCGTACACGAAGAATCCAAGTGTCACACTTCTTGTTGAATCATATTGGCATCATTACGGAAGGCGAGTGTCTCGTACCTGTGGTTTGTTCTGTATGAACAATGTTGGTCCCAGAAAGTGAAGGATATCACATCACATACAACAAAAAATGAAATTTTTGTAAGGATATAGAAGGGTGCCTCACTTCAAGGAAGGCCGAGTAACAGTCAAGTATCAAAGCTTGGACTGCAAACGATTTTTTTATGGAAACCTAGGATAGTATTGAAAGGTACGAACTACTGTCAATGCTTTGCTCTGTGTTCAAAGGAGAGGACCTCACCTACCAATCTCATAGCAGGGTATTCATCTGTCCCTGTCGTCGAATCAGATGGAGGATATGAATAGTTCAACCCTGTCTGTTCAAACTAACCTGGAGTCCACGATCTTGAACTGCAGCCACGCTTAGTTGTCGCAGCTCCGGGCTGTAGAATGTGCGTTCCATGGCCTCGTTTATGATTACCCGGAACGGCGATCCCGGAATGTTTTCGTCATTAAAACGAACAGAACACTGATACTCGCCTGGTTCGGTCACTCTGTAAGAGATCCCGCAAGAACCATCTTTGCGATCCTTGAAGAGAGGATAAACGACTTTATTAAGATACTGCAGCAGCGGCCAAAACTAACTGAAAAGAGAAAGAACCTGCAACATCATAATGTCGGCCGATGGCGCCTGAACAATAATCTGACTGTTTCGTTCGTAGACTATGCACATTGTATGTAAGTTAGCCACCTTACAAATAGGCTATACTATAGGCAATTTAACAAAGCATATTTCCTGAACCACGACAGTACGAAATTGTTTCAAACTTATTTACACATCTTCCTAGTTGTATGCTGGAATATGTTCCACCTGGCGTACAAGCAAGTTAATGGCTTACAAGTGTTCATCTGCCAAACCAAAGAGAACATTCAGTTTCATCCAAAGTAGGACATTAGTCCGCTTTGGTGAATGAAGTGCTGAGTGCCAAAACGTAGTATTTTGGATGGTTTTTTTGGGAAATGCACTCGATGAGTTAGTATCCATCGATCAACGGGCAATATTAGTCCTTACAATAACTGTGACAATCCGTACCATCCTACTGTGGCATGAAATTTCTTTAGCGGTGGTAAATCCTTCATATTTCTCACTCAGACATGAGTAATGAGGCTGCAGTAACATGTGCGGGACAAATGTTGTCACAGAAGAGCGAAAATGAAGCGCGAAGTCTCGATGGAGTGATTTGTAATGGAAAGAACAGGTGGAGTTTCGAAGAAGTCCCATCACAGAAGCTTCATTTGACACTGCACACCAAGAAGTCTAGTATGATATGTAGCCTAACGCTTTGCAAGCATGTGTGTATACAACTTGGATAAGTGTTAAATTAAAATTTGTAAAGCAAATTTACAGGGCGACCCTCGATTAATACGAGTTATTTCTGCAAAGCGCACTACTTTGAGAAAGTTCTAAATGGAATTGCGCAACTTAAGTAGAACACGCTTTTATCTGTTCTCCAGCAGCAGAATATAAGGTTCCTTCTCGTCACCTCTATGTGAACTACCATAGTTTAACTCTTCTTAATGTCGGGACCTGGTTGCCAGCCAGATACAGAGTAAGTCACTTGTCGTGTCTCCTTTGTCCTGACAAAGCAACATTACAGGCGGTGTATATTCACTGGGAATATGTCACACCTGTAGGATATTTAACAGACGTTGTATGTATGTCCACAACCCGAAGTAACACGTGACTAGCGAATCGATTTTTGCTTTCTTTAAGTGCATTAATTATTTATTTGGAGCAAATGTTGAGCAAAGTGCCAAACGACACGCTTTTATAATCTAAAATCCTCCAGTTCACATCCGTAATGAAAGGAAGAAATGAGAACAAATCGATACTGCGAAAGGATGTAAACCAAATAAAGGATTGGTCGAGAAGAGAAAAATAATTCGTACTGCTGTTTCCGTGAGAGTTGACTGATTTGCACTGAACGCTGGCTTTTCGCTCCTTTTACTGTGCCTTCTGGTGTCCAGTTTAACAGGTTTATTGTCGTTTGCATACTCTGTTTATTTTTTTTGAATTTTCGATAGTACACTATGTCATCGTCTATTACGTGCTTCTCTGAGATGGCGTTCAAAATCGCATGGTTCCGCACAAGGTGAACTTTGATGGTTTGCTATAGTGAAAATTTACTGTAGTTAAACCTCATTGTCTGTCCATAGCCTCTGATGAAGAAGCGTTCTGGAAGGTTTTTAAATTGATGGCGTCGAACAAACCCATCAACCACATTTACGCGGACGTTGAATGCCTTTGAATTCTCTGACGTTTCTTTGGGAAAATCGAACTGAGACGTGATTTGCCACACCGTGGAACGCAGGACCAAGGGGTCTTCCCTGTGTTTTCGTTGATTGCAATATTCAAGGATAGTAAATCTCGGTAGAAAAAATTTCGCCCATAAAAAGTGGTTACCGTTTTCAAATTTGATAGCAGTAAATACTCGTTGTGCGTCGCCTAGCCTGGTGTCTAAGAGGTGCAGAACTGCACGAAATCCCGAGTTCCAACGCAATTATTCACCGTAGTTTCATAATATTTCTCAGGAATGGCGCGCAGGGGTTGCTTCTAACAGGTTAATATCCGTTCCAGTATTGTTTACTTCTGCACAGCCTGGTGCACCCGGTAAAAGTGTTTATTTAGTTCACCCTGTCCTCCCCGCTAACAGTAAGTTTTCAGGAGGATAACGAAGCTTCTTCAAACAGGTCCAAACGCCTTGTCAAGTTCCTTACTTCAAAGTCAATCTCAGCTTTGCTTGGTCCTTCGATGGCAATGGACAAACCGCCCGCGCCTGCCTCACGTGTGTAGATGCTGAATTCGTTTGGAGTGTACGTCAACCCGTGTTGTAATCCAGGACCTGCAGCATGGACTTTGTGGGCACCTCCATCAGTTATCGCACCAACAGTGAACTGGAACGGGCTCCCTGCAGAGGTTTTCAAGCAAGGAATGGGAAAACGTTTTAGAAATGGTAGAGCTAAGGACACTAATGTGAAGTCTGCGACTTTAATTTTATGCTTTCTTGCGTGGCTGAAAGTGGGAGACACGATTTACAAGTTTGTCGCTTAGCTTCGTTTATTAACCGAGCTATGACTTTTAGGATGTTGTGCTAGAAATGGTCACATGACATTCAGGTCTAACGTAAGAGTATACTTCAAAAAATACGACCAGAATGATAGCGTAAAAGCTGAAGAGCTTTTGTTCTTCACAACGGGGAAATGGTTGCTTAAATACATTTTAGTTTAGCTTCGAAGTAAACGGTCCAGGCGAATACGAAAAAAAACTGGTCAGCCACTCCGGATCGCATACAACTCGAAAGCCTTTTTCATCATCAAAGACAGTATTGATTTTAGGTCGTCACCAGCCCTCCGTGCTCTGATATGAAGTGAAGGGGAATTAGAATGGTAGTGACTCAACACAGACCAAAAAGAGAACAGCGAATGCAAAGACACGTGCACAGTTGTGGTCAGCACAAACAGTTGATATTTTTGACGGTTGAGATAGAGTCGACCAAGCTGCCTTCTGGTATGTTTCACTGCCATGTCGTCCTTCTTGATTTTATGCTAGACGAATCCAGCAAGCCCAAATGGATACAGCAGACTACATGTGGTTTGTCCTATAGCAAATGAGTTATTTGCACGCCGTCTGGACCGCTCCGGAAGCTACGGAAAGTACAGCACAGACAGTGATTAAGTGTCAGGTATTACAAGGATGCTCATCTGGACAGCAGTTGCTAAGCTGAATTGACCACACAGCTTGCAGTGCGAAAAACTGACTGTTGCGTTCCGATACTTGATTAACTCGGCTGAACAGGCAGTGAAGTGTGAAAGGTGCTGTGTACTGTCCAAAAATAATGAAATTATTAACTCACCCGGAATATGTGAACCTCTGTGTCTAACAGAAACGGTGTGGACACCCATTTCTTGAGGAACAAATCTGATGGTGTAGTTGACGTCATCGATTGGCATAACATCACACCTTTGTGTCACACCGGAAGGACTTGTAACGGTAGCCGTTAAGTCGCGGAGGCTGATGCCTGATGATGCGGAAAAAACATTAGTTGTTAATGATGGCGTAGACGATTTAATACGCTCATTCAACATCTAACTATGAACCGTGAGGTTCGGCTTGGCCAGTAACCCTTAGGGAAGATGGACTGGGATATTGATCTATAACATCATGTCTGCAAATTTGCAACAGCCTATTATGACAAGCTCATACTTACCTGGTATTTTCAGATTTAGTTCACACTGGCTTCCAACGTGAGTGACATCAGCCAGTTCTCGTTGCCGCGTAATGCGCTCCATCATCCGCAAGGATGGTTCACCTCCAATGTGAACGACAAACGGACTTCCATTGACCAGTTGGTCCGCGTATTTTACGTTGATGATATAGGTCCCAGGTTCAGTTGGTCTGTAGGTCACCAGACAGGTTCCATCGTGGTTGTCATGGCATTCGATATCGGCTTTGCTCGGGCCTTCAATAGATAGACTTAGACTGCCGTAACCTGTGAACGAAGGTCATAGGAAGTATCTTGCGTGTGGAAGAAGCCATATTACTACGTGAAACAAAACGAATACCAGGCGAATGCACTACTCACGGGGTTGCTCAGAAGTCTTCGACGAAGAGTTTTCAGCAACCTTATGAGTAGTGCATTACGTCTTCACAATATATGGCACAAATATCATGCCAGCTGAAACATGAGGCAGCCTGTTACAGCATAGTTAGTTTATGTGAAACAGCGAAAACGAGATACTCATCTGGGTTGCAGACAAATTTCCGACCAAAACCAAATTGGTGTGCAAATGGGTGTATTTGGGCAAGTTTGCTGACAGTAGGGTGAAAGTATACCAATGAAGATGATACCAATGACCACCATGTTTCTTTGTATGGGTGATGTCTTTAGATACACCAAATCTCATAAAAACAACAGTCCAGTGAACTCGCTCATATTTGAATTCAAGCTACTCTTCTCAGTGATCGATAGGATAGGTTTAGCAAAAAATGGAATGCTGAGTAATTATGACATCATTCATATAAATGACGTGGCGAAACTTTTAAAGTATGACGGTAGTAAGTAAACGGTCTGTCAGCTGCCTTTTCTTTATTCTTCAGAGAAGTGTACTGGCCTGATAAAATGTCTGATTTTTTATGATTCATTTAGGGAAAATACTAACGTTCTATGGTTATTCTATAGCTTGACGACCGTTTAGATTGCACCTACATCGTTCATAGCACTCTTGTCACATAAATGGGCTGATAATTTTGAGTTGTATTCAAAACAGCAACTATTCACAAAGAAGTCCAGATATCGTTCAGACATGCCGTGCAAACAAAACCTGGACTTGAGTTACCGGATTCTCGTAAAACTGATTTTTCGGAGGTAGAAAAATGAGATGTTGCCAACTAGCTTATATGATGTCACAAAACATGTGGTGGAAGGTTTGTTTACTCTAAACTCCAGTACCATTCAGGTGGCAAATAAGACAAAACATGAGATCCATTCGACGTGTGGAAAAACTCAGCGGGAAGTGCACCTAAATAAATAAGTGGAAAAAGAGTACTAACCTGCATTACGCGTGTCCACAGTGAATTGACAGTTCTGATTTGCTGTACCCTCGTGCAGTCCGTTGCCGTAAATCCGCACCTTTGAAGCATTACCTATCTCACCTTCACCAACGTAAATTTTGAAGGGGCTGTTTGCAATATGGCGACCGTTTCGAAACACATTCACGTAGTGCTCGCCAATCTCTCGAGGAGTGAACGAGATGCCTTCGATGAACAGAATGGGTGCAACGGAGTTAGATTGAGTGCACAAAATTAACTTTTGTGACCATCACAGGGAACAAAATTGGACTTTTCCTCCATATCAGTTATAAAGTAGATAGTCCGACTCCGTGATCTAAAGGTGATCTAAGTTCCTCAAACTATCTGGTCCAATGTCACTTTTGGTATTTATTCTCAAAGTCACCGTATCTATGGTGATGAGGCTTTACATAGTTAAACTAAACCTTGGTGTTGATATACACAGCTTTGCAGTTCAACTCAATAATTTATATCACACAGGCACGAAATCATTCCCACGGACTCGTTAGTAGCCTAAAGACGTTGTGCAATAAAATTTACGTACACTAGGGTGAATCGAATAAATCTAGACCGAAGTCGCCCCGACCAGATATTAGTTCATTCAGATAGAGTTGGATGACAACAAGAACTGTAAAAACTACTCTGTGGTCGTTTCAACTAGATCTAATTTAGTCTTACTTGAAGAACTTCAAACTTACCCAGATGGCCATTTGGTAGACGCTTCAGTGAAGAGGGCTGTTCTTGCCCAGAGGGACTCCTGACCGTGGCAACCAAGTTGTAGATATCGGTCTCCGTAATGCGCAGAGGCATTTCACTAGTGGTTCCCACACAAACCTGGTTGAATCGTCTGGTTTCACCTAAATCGAAAGGATATTTTGTGGTAGGCATTAAATAAAACGATGCACAAGCCAAAATAAAATAAAACCAACGTTCACGAGGCAAAAGTATTTGCAAATGGATATGGTAACAATAGGGGGACTCATGAATCCTAGCTGAATCCATGCTTTAGGATATTTATTAACTGAGTGTGTTGCTTAAAGACGGACCAATGATTCGGATATATCTGAGGGAGATACCGAAGTATGTTGACTTGACCGTGCTGAAATTTCCTCGACAAACTAATTTGATGTTAACGAGGTGTGGAAATGAATCCTAGCCGAATCTCTCGTTTAGGATATTCTTCACAGTAAAGTTGACAGAACTCGAGAACTGCGCTCATCTGATGAGCTCCAGAGAGAGTAAGATCGATCTTGGGCTGTCGGACAATTTTCTGTGACATTTTGAATAGTATACCTCATCAAAAAAGCTGATATTGTTTGGTAATCCCAAATATGGAAACGGTAGATGAAGGGTGAGGAACCTAGTGGCGTAAGTTTATTGATGCAATTCAGTTCCTCAACCATCCGTATTTTTCTCCGAGGGCTTCCGTCCACAAGCTTCAGGAAGAAACTCTACACAACTCATGCATGAAGGAGTGAAGCCACGTTCAGTTTCCGGTATTTGCTCCCTTTGTCAAACGTCAACCTTTTTTCTGGATTACAACACTTTTTAGAAGAGATTTTGGACACTGGTTGGTTGTTTTCCTTTCCCTGTTCAGTGACTTCGTATCAGGTTTCGTGTTCATCAGCTGACAACAGGGCTTTGTTGATTAGTTACAGAGACCGGATGTTAATACCTCTGACCGTTCACGATTACTAGGATTTTCACTTTTCAGATTTCAGTGAAACATTATACCCTGTTGGAAGGAAACTCATAGGAGTTTGTAGTCTAGCTAAAGTCAACGGGTCCGATGAAACAAGATTTGCTTAGATACGAGGAAGAACTGAGCACAAGCCCGCGGGACAACGTGATGTATCCAGAGTACAAAAATTTTCGCACACGTTCAGAAAATCGTCCACCTGTTCCTTTTTTTTAAACACTATCATAATCTCAGTGACCCATTCCTGACTCATTATGAAGTTAACTCCGGCTGCATGGTCACAGTTCATGTAAAATAAACCTTATTTGAATCAGGCTGACAGATAACTTCGCAATCTAGTTAAGCGATTCTTGTAAAGCTCCGCTAACCAGAAAATTTACTTTGAACCGTCGGTGGTTGGTCTACTCTTCATGAGGTCGACGATTTCAATGTCATGCATAAAGAGCCTTTATAACTATAGGGAGCCATTTGCAATGCGAGACTATCCCGCTGATCAACTGACCACCCACTCAAGGTCGTTTACTGCAATACACCAACTAGAATGAGATACTTTTCCACTTATAGATGAGTGCTTTACGTAGACGGATGAAAAAGGCAAAGGTACTTGTCAGGATCTTGTCAGTTATGTCTTCTGATAGCTTTGATCGATTGGGACAGGAACAACTCAATGCTGCAAGTTTCCTAGATCAAACGAAGGTCTGTTGCTGCGTAGTCTGACCTGTCCGACGCACAGGATATTGTGTCAGTCAGTTCTAGACTTACATTACGGTCTTCTGCGCCGTCGAGGATATTATACTATGTTGCGTTTGCCTATCTACGTCACAGTGTCAGACTAGCAGTTTCCGAGGGTATCCGTTGTGAAATCGTTCGGATGAATAAAATGGGGCATCTCACTCTTCTCTGAAAAATTGAATGGGATATAACTTTGTTCCAGGTAAGCCACTGCGTGAATGTGATGTCTTAAGAGACAAATTCGAAGGTTTAATTGCAGCACAGTCGGATTGATTGCACCGACTGTTTGGACAAAAATTTTTGAGAAATACACTCATTTGCAAATCAATTTGCTTTTCACGAGATACTCAACTGAATCTGTCGTTTATGGTATTCTACAACTGAAAGTGCTGCACACAGGCCGCCTCATGTTTCAGTTGGCACGATATTCGAGATATTGCAGCAACCCTGTGAGTAGTTTCCTTTATGAAAATTTTTTACTTCTTTGTTCTAGACCGCGACTCAGTAGACTCATCATCTCGCCAGATATGTAACTGACTCCTAAGCGAGGAAATTAACTCACACATGTTCTTCAGACAGGAGATGGCCTCATGGTAAAATGCAGTCTTCTAGGTTCATGGAGCAGAGCAGCACACGTAGAATCAACACTATGGTATTTCGCCACTGTCGTTGAACGGTTCACTTCAACAGACAGTTGAATAAACCGAGTTGCCATGCCCATAACCGTTTAACGGTTTCTGAGATAGTGTTCGATACATCAGCAGCGCTGAGCAGACCTGCTGTTTCCAAGACTCAAATGCTCCATAGCCCATTAGATCTGCTCTATTTCAAGCGGACGATAGTGAGTCGTACTAGCAAAATAAACCACCAAGAGAATAATTTTTTGAGACACATTTCTCCTTATTTATAACGCGCTATGAAAAGCAACAAAATTGTACGAATAAAGTTCTTTTCTAAAAAAACGAATAACATCAAAATACTTGCCTCCAACGTGAGCTGTGAAAGGTGACCCGGGAATATGACGTTCCATAAATTTGATGGAGATCGTATATTCCCCAGGAACCAGTGGCAAGTAGCTAACGCTGCATGTGCCATTCTTGTTATCATGACATTGTATCTCGGCTTTTGATGGTCCTTCTACGGAAAGGGATAGGCCACCTGTAAGCAAAGCGGGTTGACACAGAAATAAACTCGGTAGCCAGATCTCTTTGGAAAATAAAGCACCGACACCAAGAACACGGCAAAGAATAAACGGAAACAAGATTGAACTCATAAACCATTACAACCAGTAATCAGAACAACAACATCAAGGAACAAACTGTTCTCTATGCACTGCGAAACCGATCCTGTTGCTTCGGGAAGGAGCTGAATATCCAGTTGAAACTCCATCACATAAAGGAAGCCATTGAGCGACTGACAGTACTCGTCCACATCTGTTTGTTACGAATAGATTGGTCAGTCAAGTCATTAAAGATTGGGCTTTTGGAATGAACAGTCAAAAATTGAGGAAAAATGACCACTTGTTGACTTACCTGCGCCGGCCTCTCGCGTAACCAGTGTGAATTCTGCTGGTTCACCAGCGCGACCGTAGGACAGACCAGGCCCGTAGGCACTCACGTTTCCGGAACCCACTGCTTCGACGTAGAATCGGAACGGGCTACCTGGTATTGGTTGCCCATTGTAGGTTATCTCTAGTTCATGCAAACCCGGTTCCGTGGGTTGGAACTGAGCGGTTACTGTGCCGTCACCATTATCGATTAAATTCGGCTGCACTGTGCGACCAGATGGGGTGCGAACAAGACCTAAGAGTAACGGGAGGGGCATTCAGAAGGGAAGGCATACAATGTGTGTTAGTTTGCCGCGGCTTATGCACATTGTGTACGCATTCAGTCGCCAGTCACATGGCTTCCAACCGGAAATAATCTGATCGCTTATGCATGTGTTTTATGCAGTCGAAATGAGCCATCGCTTGCGTAGGTAGAGTTACAACTTACCATCACTTTACCCATAAAATGCAGTCACAAACCAATCTCTGTGATCATTTCACACCATGTGTAGGTAACAGTGTAAAAAAGATGAATCATCTTTCGTCACTCAGCACACTTTTACATGAAGCTCACAACTAGCGGACATTTTTTAGTCCTAGACAGACCGAAAGCAGCAGTATACATTGTGTTGAGAATCAGGCGAAGGTTCGTTCGTCAGTATCACGTGTGTACCGCATTTTCTCTTGCGATATGAGTGTCTAGAGCAGTCAGACAAATGTTATGTGAGCTTAAAGTGTGGATTTAGATGAAATTCGTGTGAGAACTATCCATAGCGATCATCACAGAGATGGCTGTTGAGTAGCGAATATGCTGCCGATTAGACCATTGCATCCAGGCGTGTCAATGAAAGGTCATCGCTAGACGCACGGTGAAACTGATCCCTTAGTGAACAGTTCTTTTTACACCCGTGGAAAATTTTTAGTTGTTTAGGCTACGAAGAAACAGTCACTCATTCACTCATTCACTAACAGGTTAACCAGGCAGTTGTGAGATACTTTGGTCCATTCGTACTACTATGTCTTCGATCACGTGCATAAACCTCGGATTTAGAAATGCGCCATTCGTTTTGTACGGGCAATGAACTATCTGCATCTTTTCACAAAGGAAACTACTCACAAGGTTGCTGCAAACTCTTTGACAGCCCACGACCGGTTGCGCCCTTCTTGGGGCTCATCAGGTAGGCGCAGTCCCCTAATTTCTGTCAGTTGTTGAATATCTTAAACGAGAGATTGTGTTGAGTCTCTCGTGAAAACCAAATTGATTTGAAAATGAGTGTTTTTCTCGGAAACAGTTCAATTTGGGTTCAAGTAGGGCATAAGGTTGACGGAAACTTGGGGATTGTGCCTACCTGAATGAAAATATACTACGATATCTCGAATATCGTCCCAACTGAATCATGAAGCCGCCTGTGTGCACCACATTCAGTCGCAGAATATCATAAACGAAAGATTCACTTGAGTCTCTCGTGAAAACCAAATTGCTTTGCAAATGAGTGTATTTCTCGAAAACTATCTGCACCATTGTTACTGCTACGACGCAGCGAGTTGCTAATCTAATGAGCTAATCTAATGAGCTTCAGGAGCCTGAATCGTAATATCTTCAAAAAAGCTTTACCATCATAAGAGTTGTTCTCTACGTGAGTAATCTCCAATCCCATTCAGTCTTGCACTCAAGTGGCAGATCGGCCTTCTTTGGCATAAGCAAGAATTCGTGTCACAACAACTCAAATGATATGAACCAGCAAGGTTGGTCATCATCTGGTCAGTCTATGAACCTTTTGTCTTCGGTCTACGAGGACAACAGAATAGAAATGCTTGCCCGCTGGTGTCCACATCTTGCCCTACTGGTGCGTTCAGAATGGCTTCGTTAATTAAATACCAGACCCTTAATTTAGGTACATTTTCTTCCACAAATAGACGGAACAACAAGCCTTAAGTTGGACCCTTGAAAGTTGTTGAACATAGATTAGAACTGAGAAGTCTCAGCCTGACATAACTTCATGAATCTCAGATGAAAAATTCACAGGATTCCCGGATGCTGCGAATACTTCTGCTAGTAATCGAGCCAGCCCTTGATAGCGTCCGAGAAAGAACTGATTCCGTTTTTGACTTACCCTCCACATGACTAAACATTGGACCGACAGGGAGTTTGAAATCCACAGGGTGATAGCCAGTCATAATTGTGGATGACTGAACTGAGTGCGTGGTCACATGCTGAACCCGTTCCTCCTGGGGTTGATAAAAGAAGTAATAGTAACAATAAGTATCTATTTCAGAAACCATGATGGCTATCCAATTACCCTTCTAGAAATTCGTTATCTATGACCGTAAAGGCACCAATATGTAATTTGGAAGAAGGTTTTCTGGTAATGAGAGCAAAATATTCCTCAAAATAATTACCAGGCTTTTCACCCACAATGTATGGAATTTTTATGAGGTCATTATTACCTCGGTACCAGATGTTTGGGCTAAAAGTTTAGAGTACAGCGCGGAATATAGTAGGTGATTGACCACTTACCACGGCATCGACAATGAGCTCGTCGGTGGTCACGGCCTGCAAATTAAAACAAAGAAGAACGTGACTGGTTTGGTCGCTTTATAGTGGAATTATGCCAAGAATGTATATCGCTAAAACGCTCAAAGACATACACGTAACTCATGTGCAAAATCACAGATCTGAAGTCAATAGTGGGCGGAACCACTTGGTTGAACGCGTGTCTTTGTGCAATAGGTGAGAGTGTAGTTCCTCGTACTATTGAGTTTAACACCTGTTTCAACATAGTGGATGAAATGTCGCTGGTTAGAAGGATATAAGGTGTAAATTTTTGCTCTACTGCACGACGACAGAATCTCTTGTCTACTGGGAAACCATTTATTCTCAGTTATTTGAAATACAGAACATTGTTTGATTGGAGTATAACATTTGGCACTTTGGTTAACCTCGGCAGCTGTAAAATGTCCTCATTGTTAGTAAGGACATCAACATCTAATTGAGAGGTGCGCGGCATTTCGTAAGGTGTGGTGGGAACTAGGCAGTCCAGACAAACGGTTCTGTTTCTAATTAGCAAGGTCACTTGCGAAATTACAGGTGTTTGGCTTGCAGTTATGCAAGGTCCAACAACGACTAAACTACGTTCCCTTAGCTCGTGTAGATACCGTCAAGGTCCCCTAGTTTTGGAAACCAAATGGGGTCTGAGAGTGTTTGACGGAATCTCACAGTTGACACTTTGAATTCCGAAAAAAAGAAGTGTACAGAAGCATTACAGCTTCTATGAAGTCACTACAGATTGAAAGTAAGAGGGTCTTTGAAAGATACACTCAATTGAGAATCAATTTGGTTTCCACGAGAGACCCAAGTGAATCGTTTATGATGTTCTAGAACTAAGTGTTCCGCACACAGGCCGCTTCATGTCTCAGATGGTACGATATTTTAGACAACGGAGTATATTTGCATAAAGGAAACTACTCGCAAAGTTGCCGAAATTTGGGTTCAAGTAGATCACACGGTTGACGGAAACTCGGGGACTGCACCTACTTGATGAGCCTCAAGAAGCGCGAAGAGTTTTCAGCAACCTAATAAGTAGTTTCCTTTATAAAAGGATCGTACTTTATTTTTATGCTTATCTTTAGGTTACTAGCTAAAGATGAGAAACCTACATACTCGGCGCAAATGTCCTTATCGACTCGTTTGTGGATCGTAGTATCAAAATGGACATTGACTGATTAGTTTGAAAAAAATATCCAACTGACTGACTCAGATACTACTCTTCGAGGATATGTGGGTTGCGTATTCACTGGATTGTCGAGCCATTGTCGTCAGTGTGTTGGCAGAGTGAAACAGATCATCAAGATGCATGTAAATAGAAGAATGCCACGTTCTCCCCAGAACAACATTTATCATAATAAAATGAGGCTGCAGAAGAATATCGACGCACTAACGATGGCTGCAATTGCGGTGGTTTCCTCTTGCTTTCAAACTGTTTTCCAAATGGAATGCTGGGGGTTCCACAATTACTGAATGAAAGCCATCATTTCTCGCGTTACTTTTCAAACAGCAGCCTAGGCCAAAAAGAATAAAGTACCCCAAATCTTCCAAAAGTGTGTATGAATAACAGCGCCTGTCGATTAGCTAGTCTGCAGGTCAGTGAAATACCGGAAAACTGTAACCTACATACAGTGACCATGGTTCCGATTTTCATCACTTGTTCTGACAAAACCGGACGAATTTGCCTATGGACCTATTACCCATCCGCTTTGAACATGGTTTGCAGGAGTTTCCCGAAGGACCGTTTGTTATTCAAACGTGGAGAGGTTAGTGTAAACTTGCAGTCCATCTTTTGTTGACTTTTTATTACTCACTTGAAATTAGTAAATTCTTTAAAAGGATATTTGAAATGTCTTTTTTCGTTTTAGATTGCCTGGTGGTCACAGTTACACGCAATGGAAAAACTAGCCTCCAAATCCAAACAATGCAACTTGATTGGCAAACTTGGGGTCTAAGTGAGTGTGCTCAGCCGCCTCCTCCATCCAAAGCATACTTTAACGAAGGAAGTTATTTACACGGTGATGGTCTATGTCTAAAGGACAAGATGATGACAGACAGTGTTGGGGACATTTTTATGCATTCACTCTTCTTTAAGTGCTACTGCTCTGCACATCTTGGGTGCATCTGCACGCGCACATCGTTCTGGCTCTTTAATCGACCTCACCATCCATACTTAAAGAATTCTATGTAATTTCATGCTAAGAAGGATATTGGCTGCGGTATCTAGACCTAGTAGGACACATCAGTCATTCCATATAAAGCAGGAGCATCGAAGGTTATTCGAAGATTGCTGAACTAAGCCAACCTTCGAGTAGTTTTCCAGAAGGGAAAAACGCTACGCTCGGTGCAATCGAAAGATCCCTCCCGGTTGAAAGGACTGGAATTAGCTGCAACGATTGAACTATGGCTTACGTAGGACAACCTGCCGGGGAAAGGCATATCAGAAGCGGTGAGCATGAAAGGAAGATAAACAAACCACCAAGGAATGCGGAAGAGTATCGAACGCTGGTCAGAGACTCAACGATGGCGGTACATGCGTTAAACAAAGGACGAAGACTGGATAGTGACTGCGGTCCACACCCCAATGGCTGATAGCCGCGGAGGTGGAAATTACCGAACATCACAGCATGAACGGAATCGAGGGTATGGCGAGCGTACGGAAAGCGGTTTTAGATAAGCCGAGTTGTCACGTTACGGTGTGTGGTTGTCAACGCGTGTAGATTAATTAGCAAAAACGGTGGGATGGGATGTGAAAACCCCAACCGGACCAAAGTTCACAGAATCCGTCTTCCTTACACAAACATCGTCGCACTAGTTCATCCACACAGACGGAACAAATGTGCGAAAGGCGTTCACGAAGAGCCGGAAGAATTAGACGATAAGCAGGTCCCAAATCCATGTAGGCTTCCCCATCAGCTTAACGCTTGATGACTCATCCTAACACACAAAATACCTTTGCCGACACGTGACACAGATTTAGCTTGAGTTAGCTGATTGGTTCTCCTTCCGCCTCAAATCTGGACCAACCTGGTAGCCTAGTCACTTGGCCCGATGAAGCCTTCATGTTAAAAGTGAAACGTTACCCAGCAATAGGTCTACCGGTGGCTACCAAACTTTTCCAAAAAGGATAATTTCATGCTAATTTGTTCTCAGCGCAGGGGTACTTATTGTCTTTTATTGCATGAAGACCATTCTATTAAAATTAGTAAACTAAGGTCAACTGAGACGCACGAGATAAGGCCACCGAATGACTTTTTACAACTTACCCGCTGATTAAAACGCCCGTTTGGTACCAGATCACCACCGAAGCGCACCTCAACCAGATAGTCGCCACGAATTGGTGGAGTGTAGTAGATGTTCACCCGTCCATTCGGTGCTTCTTGTATCTCCACGTCAGCGGTTGCTCCAGAGGGTGTCACAATGCGACAGGTCACCTGTCCCAAGCCAGCCTGTAAGGTGTTCACTGTAATGACACATTCCTGCCCAACAGGTACACGACCATCGTTTCCACCTGAAACGGCCACCACAAACATCAGTCTTCATTACCTATTTCAATTAGAAATATTTGCCCCACAAACTGCACGATGACTCCTGCTTGCCTGCCTATATAGTATGGTGGGTTTTTAAGCTGAGTAGACGTGTGGCCCTCATTGGATCTTCAGATCCATTCACAGAACATCAAAATTGACGAGGTAAATAATTTTGGTACGATAATTGCATAGATAATTTTCTTGCCACTCAACTATTTAGTCAGAATTGTGTATGAAAGCTGAGGCTGACTGGAAGAGATGGAAAATGTCCAACTTCAAAGAAAAATATGTTTATCTCAAATGTCTTTTACATCCCCTTCCAGGATGGGTCAGCAAGTGAATTCAACCTTTTCCAAATGCAAGTACGGGGACGTATATTCGGAATGGATGCCAACGAGTACACGAAGCGCAGTGCAAGTAAACATATCACTGTGCACATTCTTGAATTGTGATTCACCGAAGGAACCCTCCCTGATTAATGCTTTCAAATATCGATGAATACATAATTTGATGCATAAGCCCTGTACAGTTTTGCCCAAGGTATGTGAAACCTAATGGCCGCTGATCTCTTTATTTTTAAGGAATTCGCCCTGGCATTAATAATCATCCTAATTCTGAAGCGGTGTAGAAGAAAGAGGAAGGTGGATAATTTTGAGTAACTTCTCTAGCAAGCACATTTGGTATGGTAAGCAAGAATTCTCGTCTAGAAGTTCTCGCATGTTGTTTGCACATCTCGGTCCGTATTCAAACCTCTAATTTATCCACCATTTTATAACAAACATCCGCAGGATTATCATGTTTGGGAACGGTTTGACTATGAGTCTAGCCAGCCTACGTTCGAAAGAACGATCTTTGAATTATTCGAAGATCTCGGTCATGACATCAGTTGTAACCCTCAAGGACTCATAATCGTCATTCTCAGTCCAAATGCGATCCCTGTTATGTAAGGTCTTGGACAAATTTAAAAAGGTATTCGTCAGGCACCGGATTAGGCAATCGGTCTCAAGTAGAAAATAGAACGTACGTAACTGAGTAGATGAATTTGAACGGTTACGACGTTAACAGCATTAATATCCTGTAATGTATTCGTATCCCAGACGGTGTGTTCTACTCCTCAGCGCCTCGAACTGGTGACTAACTAACCTAAATCCATGTTTAGCCACAAAGTAACTCACTTTCGATACGACACAAGTCAGCTCGGCCTGAAGGTGCGACTGGCACGAGGAATGGACTTTCGGGGATCTCCTGACCGCCAAACTTCACACGAACAGTATGTCTACCGACAATTATGGGACGATAGTGGCAGGTATATGTACCGTCGCCGTGGTCCACCACTTCAAGTTGAAGAGGTTGGGCCTCCGGATCCTTGTTTATTCACGCAATAAAACATTAAAACACGAATGGGATGACATGAACCACATAAATACAATTCATAAAAAAGGAAACAACATAAATTTTGTACGAATACAACAACATCAGTTGTTAGTGGGCTTTGTACAACACCTTATCTACAGAGAACAAAACGGAGTGTGTCACCTAGTTCCCAATTTTGATATCTGTGCAAAATGACAACAGAAAATCTTACCAAACTCATAGGAACAGAACAGAGCAAGCGACATCACACTAGATTATCATAGTGTAGGAAGTCTGATCACTCAGAACACAACGCAACGGAGAACGCGGAGGGTGAAAATAATCGAAGCCAATGGTGTTTAGGAGGAGAACTACGACAATAAAAACCATAATTATTGACAACAAAACTTCAGAATTGTGATTAAGGAGACCAACCATGAGAAGTTATTTGATGTGAATATTGTCGTAGACCCTCAACTCTGATTATCCTGATTGACCAATTCAAAACCGGCCTCGATGAGGTGCAAGCATGAAATCCCAGTCTATTTTTGGGATTACGTTAGTCTCGCAAAACAGCGACAAACGACAGGATGCTTGTTTGTGACTCCTGTTTCACCTACTAACCATTCAATCCATGAAGCAATGGAAGCCCCTGGTGGGTGAAGGACGTTGTTCAGTTGCCGCATAATCTAATGTGCTGCAATGCAGGTTTGGCGCATGTGTCCTTTCATGCGAAGCCTGTGGTCGCATCTTTATTGCTTGAATACACAAACCTTTCTCGTCTGTGTCTGATAGTTTGTCATTTCGCCCATTTGGAGCTTGCTGTCCCACAGACTGGACAGGGATGCAGCCCTAGCAGACACGTGGACCCAGGAATGATTTCCTAACTGTCGCTGTCACTATCTTAACACATTAACTTGTCATGTTACAGCCACAATGTCCGAACAAGTGTGGCCTCTCTCCCTGTGTCGGATCCTCTCATAGTCGTATAGCCACTGAAAGACCAGACCTGTAAACCACCATCAGTCTACTGTGGTGATAACTTTGACAATGACGCAAACCAGCACTCGGTAGACTGCCTTCCGCTTGCGCTTGAACGTCACCTACATCTAACAGCACATAACGTCTGACCAAAGACGCCCTAATCCAGTGGTTTATTTTGATTGTGCTGCATGTTGAAAGGGGTTGCTACAGTAACCAAAATTTCGCGACTCGCAACGTCATCAAGTTCCTCCCGGTTCTAACATCATAACCCAGACAGACAGAAACGCTGTGAACGTGAGTTTTTTTTCCTAATTCTTTGTAGGCCTAACTACAGAATCGGCAAGTTCTATTTATTGTTAATCACCTCGAAATCTCCTAAAATGCATGCAGCTTCCGCAACTCTGAGTCTCTATTCAGTTGGACCAGAACGGTACGCAATAATGAATCGACTGTCATAAGCGCCTTGACGTCCACTCGATATCACCAGGCCATCTCCAGGCGGAACAAGCGGACAACTTAGCTTCTGTTCCCTGTCACGGGAAAATATGTCGGACAAGTAAAAGTGCATACCAGCCGATGTTTTTTGAATGCCTGTGATTCCGGAATTCCGTTGATGCTGTGTATTATGTCTAGACTGCAACCTTGCGTCGATCTGTATCACGTTGGCAAATTCAAACCACCAGACTACATAAATGATGACCGATTTGGCTATCTGAGGCTAATAGAATGTACCATATAAATATGTGATCACCGATCAGCGGTAAGACTGGCAGGCATGTTAAACCTGACCCAGAATTAGGCGTCTCACGCTAGATATTCTTTATCCAAAACTACCAGCCTACAAATAGCATCGGAATACAAAAAGTCAGCACAACCGACTGAAGGACACAGTCACCCTAAAAAGACAAGTTGCCATTAAATCTGATGGCAATTTAGGGTAAGTCATGAAGCTGTAGATAAACCGATGTGCACTCTCAACCATACTCCATTCTGGTCGTTTCTAGGTGAACAGGTTTAGTTGACTGAATTCTAATTTCGCTTCGAAACTGCGACAAATCGGACCTAAACGGAGGAACAGGAGATTTGCCTGTCAGAATGGGTCGTTGAAGACGGACAGTAAAAGCTTGGTTTAGTTGATTTCGAATGTACTCATTTATTCTGCGACCAAACGTAACCTTTACCACAAACATGATTTGACTGTAAAGAGCTTCGTCTATACATAACGTCGACAGGTTGACGGAAAATGGTGGTCCATCAACCTTAAGAGGGTGTTATGCTCCAGGCGCCTATTCACGCGCGAAAGTTTATCTTAATAAAATATACACTGCTTTGCAGACGTAACAAAGATACGTTGGTTGATAGTATGAGGAGAATTCGGAATTTTTGAGTGATGTAAATCTGAGAATCGCTCAAAAACTGCGGGGCGCTGTACAGCTGTTTTGAGCTTATTGGGAATTTTTCAGCAGTGCGCACCTCATGGGACTCTAGGGAGTTTCCAATCCACGATTGTTGAGTGTTCAAAATACGAGCCAGAAGGTTGCGGGTTCAACGCCCCCAAGAGTTTCATCAGATGAGCACGGCTAATAATTTCAAATAAGGATAAAACAGTCGTACTTTGCTACTGGGCTCTTCAGCGTGGACTGAGTCAACACTCAAGAGTCAGTTTCTCAGCAATGCTTGCCAGAGAAACTGCCAACTCATTGTAAGAGCTCACTGGAACAACTTGTACGACCAACAAGGACGGATCACAATAAGGAGATAAGAGCAGGAAACTTTCCCGAGGCAATAAACACACTTGCCATCCTAGCTCTCTTCTGTTTGAATAGAACAGTAGGTTTTCCGTGAACGGCGTCAAACTATCCACATTTTATCAAGCGGTATAAGTTGCTCAGTATAAGAACAAATCTATATTTTGTTGCTCATAGATTGTACATCTTCCAGTTTATAACTTATTTCTGATCGAAGATCACAATTCATTGTCAAAGCAGTTGTGTGCTAGTTCCATGCAACTCAGTGGCTTTATTCTTGGCGCGTTGATGCCATTCTGGTAAACGAAACGTTTGCGGCTATGCAGAGAAAGACTGATACAACAGGCTTAGGTCTATGTATTTGAAAGACTGTGCAAATCGCTTTCTTGGACAGAGGCTGTCGCACTGACTGGTTCCGGGATCTCCTGAACACAAGAAACAACAGTTAGACAACGGAGGACACAGACGTTTAAACATTGAGGGTGGGGCAGTATGGAAAGAGACGAGGATCGAAATAGTCCAGATTAGTCCGTGGTCACACGATGTTTGTAATGTACTCCAATAACAAAAACTATTTTCTCTTTGGGTTAAAAAAACACTCGTAGATGTTTACAGTTATGCATATACTGCATTGACTGTTCCTCAGTCATTGCTAAATTTCCCCAATAAAATTCAGGGATATTTTTCTCCCTTGATCAAGAATGACACGTTGGGTTCTTGCCGTTTTATTGACCAACAGAAAAGGGGAGTTATTTGCTGAAAGACCTCAAATTTGTTGAAAGCAGCGCATCATTTTGGGTCCGATTGTTGCTTATTCCAGGTGCAAAACTACTAATGATACTAAGCAAGAGCTTCCGGATCGAAAATGCGGTGTACATTTTGTCCCTATACGAAGCATGTTTGGATGGTGCAATGATGTGACGTATGGTTGGCTACCGACACGATCGATTCTAGTTAAAACAGTAAGTGCTATTTAGAAGAACACCAAGTCTCTGTTAAACAATCCGCTCATATGAGGAATTCTATTTGCAACCAACTCACAGAAACAGACAATTCGAGATCACCCATTCCAGCATCTCTTGTATCCACATGGAAGGAGGTGGGCAGCGTGGCTGGAAGTCCGAGTGGTCGAGTTGGGTGTACACCTTCTCCAGTGACGCGAACGCGTTGTGGTTCGAATGCAGGTAAAACGTGCTGAGTAAAAGGAGATCGTGCTACATGAGCAGAGCCTTGACGGACTTCGATTTGACATGGGCCTTCGGTTGCCGGCACATAGGTTACGTCGTACACTCCTGGCTGACTTGGTCTTGGTACAGTGTGTGCGGGAGTTGACCGACCCAGACGATCTACTGTGGCCACCTAGAATTAAAACATTTTGCGGTATCAGTTGTTTCCAGGCTTGGAAAACACATTCACAGATTGGTTAAGCTGAACGTTCAAGAAACTGTGAGTACTGAGATGATTTAATGACATACGGCTTTTCAATTTTCACGCTGACCAGAATAGTTCACAGTGAGTTCTCATCGATCCACCTTCAAATCTCCAGACTATATCTTAGTCTGACTCTGTTCGTTTTTTATGAACTCTGAGAAGGCTGAACCCTTGCAACTCAGGTCTGATTGTGAGTCAACTATTTTGTAATACCCGGGTGTTTGCTGCTCCCTAAACTCACCCCTATCCCAATAATCGCAATTAAAAATCTACATTTTAACCTAACAACAGGATTTTAAATTGTAGGGCTATAACAGTGATCCTAAATGACGTAGTAGGTTGTAATCAGGTGATTTGCCATTTGCACAGTGTTGTGCTATGAATAAACAACCACGAGCTGGAAAAGAGGGCTGGCAACAAAATTGTCTTGAAAAGGCAACCCGCAAGTGAATAATCCACCCTTCCTGCATTTGCCTCATATTTAGGGCTATCCATGCTCAGGACCAGACGAACTGTTAGGGCACCAAACAGGTTCAGACATCGTATCAGATGGGCTTGGTAAACAATCGGTAGTTTCTATTTGGCAACGTTTCGTGCATTTGCCTCATATTTAGGGCTATCCATGCTCAGGACCAGACGAACTGTTAGGGCACCAAACAGGTTCAGACATCGTATCAGATGGGCTTGGTAAACAATCGGTAGTTTCTATTTGGGCAACGTTTCGCCTTTAACACAAAGGCTTCATCAGGCCAGGTGAACAGGCCACCAAATTGGCCAGGTTATAAGACAGACGGAGAACCAATCAGTAAGTCCTCTTCAGATTATCAGGTTCAGACATCCCCGTCAGTATGCCATCTATTCTTGAAGCGTGGCAGCGGAAAAAGCTGCAGATTTGTTGACCAGATCTTTTACGAACGTATGTATTACGTTTCTCGGATTTTCGCAGCCCAACTTTTCGGTGAGCATGAAACTGTTTCCCGGTATTCACCTGATTATACGCTGAAAAACGTCCGCTTTGTCATATAACCGCAAACTAATTTGCTTAGATTTGATTTTTAATGTTAAAATAGTCGCAGCCACGTGCCTGAGAAATCAATGAACCAGAACCGAGGTAAAGTCTGGCATTTTGGATATAGTACACTTGTGAAGCGGCCAAAACTGGGACAAATATACAACTGTTTTATCCCATCAGTCCATATGGTAGAGATCGGTTTTTACAATGCACCTAATTTCGGTCGGCAAACAGCCCGCACCGACCAGGGACAATGCAGCCCGTAACGCAATGTGCAAGCTAGCACCTTCGGGAAAGGTGATATTTTTCGTTTTAAAAACGTGACCAGGGTGCATAATGTATCCTTGAGGGTGTGATGAGGGGTAGTGAGGGAACTGTGTATTAGCGCTTGTCAATTCTGCAATATCATGTTCACGTTTGCACAGCAAAATTGATTTATTATACAACACGCTGAACCATGTGGAAATGATGGTTTCAATGTCATCTTATTAGGACATCTAGTGAAGCTAGTCCAGGCTTGGTGAGAACCACATCAAAGGAAGTCAAATTTCACATGATGTTACCGCGTGACCCCACGTTTTCATATCAAGCTTGATTCATACAAAAGTTAATCTTATCGAAATGTCAACTAGGAGAAAATGTCGTGACGTGTAGAAGAAGGCAGAAATCCGCCACTGGTTTATGCTGTTGCTTTTTTTAAATGTGGGGTAATCGACAGGCGCCAGACAATATCCATCTACAATCACAACGCATGCTACGGTAACAAGACATGTCTGTTTATTATCAGGCTCTTTGTATTAACACTACGGGTAGCTTCTGGGTAATTCACTTGAATACCGCAACCGATTCAGCAGATTTGGTTCAGTAATAGACTAAGTGATGTTACTCACATCCCTGTGAGTTGGTTCACGTCGTAGCTCATTCTTGGCTGGAACAAAAAGTCAACCTTCTGTCGAATGGCGAGCTAGATAAACGACTCTGAATGACCATCATGCACAGCTGTTTAGAATGATGTTCATGACCCACAGCATCCGTAGCACTTCCTGGTACTGGCCGAGTGCCTAATCTTTGGTCGATAGCTGAAGCTAGACAGCTCACTGAATTTCAGATAACGTATTGGGTGAAGTACATATACCTGCCTATCATGAATTAGGAAAGCGTCAGGCAAACACAGAAGCAGACCTTGTCTTTCACTTTGTACGAGGCTGGGGATATATATTCACACCCTTCTGGAACCACTTTTTAAGGACGTGAGTTTCAGTCGGCCGTGGACAGTGCGTGGAGTCATGCGTGCACGCTGCACATCTCTACTCCCGTCTAACTTAGAAGACCTACAGGATTTTCGTTCTACAAACAATAACGGGACCGAAGTACTGCAAGCTGTGCTTTGAGCGCTTGACTATCCTCATTGCTCGTTAGCTTAATGGCTGCGGTACCGAGAAGCAGCGTACCTAAGTGTGCGACTTACAGTTGATGCAGCTGACTGCATTTTCTTAGCACTTATTCAGAGCCACATGATCTGTCACCTCTCTGATGATGGCTGCCAAGAGTAGTTTCAGTCACCTATTTATACGCATTTGGGTTCGGCAAATTACATGCACTAATTGTATTATTGTCCTCGTACTATAACAAACAGCAGATGTCGCCAACTTAGTCAAGAGCAGCTGATTCTAATGAACGGGACAGACTGCAAACTTACATATATTGGCGCATCTCCAGCTTGCGATGCGTCTACTGTAAAGGTGGCGGGTTGTTGAGCCCTTGCTCCACGAGGTTCCAATCCAGGTCCGTAGCAGCGCACTCGACTGGGATCCACCCTATCTCGAATAGGCACCTGGAACGGGCTCCCTAAAAATGAGAAAGAATTCAAATTAATTCGCTGCTGATAGGATGTTCACCGAAAAGGGAACGTGTATTGATGGGTCATTCCAAATTTCCTCAAGCGAACCTATCCAAGATAATCGGCGACTTATACCTCGATACTTATCACTGTTGAATAAGTGGGGTTATACACACCTAGTAACAACGCTAGGATTATATATAAATCCAGGCAATTGATATTGTTATTATTACTCAGTTTAGTACCAGCCCTGCTGTTGTTAGTAGCATCTTAATGTGAACAGAACATCACTGGTCGCACTGGGTACATGTTCCTACCCCGGGGCATAGGCTTTTTATTTGATGTTAAGCTATATGCACGCGAGTGCTGTAGTAAAATTACCCTAGCAGTGGCGAAGGAATTTCATGGTTAGTCCGTTGACACACAGTTGTGATGTTCTAAATTGTGATGTTCTAAATTAGGACTAAAGTGGCAATAAAACTTGCTACTCAGAAACAATCTGGTCGATGGTTGGCTAATTCTAACCGGATTCGGGTAAATCATGGTGACGCATCTACTAACCTAATCGCTTGTTAAGGAACCCATCAGAGCATTTATTTCAGCATCAAGGTCGTGGAACTGCCTTGATTACGCCGCGGAAATAACGTTTGCATAGAGACTTGGAGAACAGGATCGGTTGGCTCTAACCGGCCAACTTCAGCAGCAGATATTATCCGACCGATTTTTATCAAAAGCGTCTGTTCGTGAGAAAATAAAACATCACACCATATATATTATATGTATATTCCATAAACTAGCCAAGTTACGAAGCACTTGACTTCAAGAGTAACACCCTCCTTGTGCCTATGTTGATGACCCTGATGGGTTGGTCCAGTTCTCCTAGTTTTCCTTTGTTTTACGGACTATGTAATGTAAACGTCTAACTTGATGAGTTTATTCAAAAAAAGAATCGTACTTCTAACATAAAAATACATCCCACGCTCATTCCCTAATAACGGCATTTGAACTCTTGTTTTGAAGATGAACTGTAAATGAAACTGCTGGTCGTATATAAAGTTTTGAGGATGCGATAGAAAATATCGGCCTCCCGGAAACAGTGTTGTTCAGCACAGACATCCCGTCAGTTCATTATGATCACATCATTGTTTATTGCCAATAGTCACTCCAGAAGTCATAGTTCACCCGGGCAGAAAAGCGAAGCCTGTACAATTGTTGACCCTCGGCGACCTGAAAGCGGTGGTGACAGTGGAGTCATGGAAACGTCCAATCAAGATGACCCACAACTCAGGTGAGAAACCTGGTCAGGCTAGCCATTGAATCTTCCGAACCATAAGACTAACATCGCTGGACCTTAACCGAAAAGTGGTCCTTCCTCTAGGAAGAGCTAAAATCTCTCAGGCCATATGGTTGTAATTGGACGGATCAGATGACAAGTGGTACTGCTGTCAAAAAAGTTTGTCTAAAATAGTTTCACTTGTCCAACCCTCCTTTTCCTACCTTATAAGTCGAAATGACGGCTAAGGTTACTCTGCAGTAGGATAAAATCTCTGCCGATTTTTGAAGGGTTTATCGACCATTCTTATACTTTCTTAGGCGAGGTTTCAACCTGCTCATAAAACGTGACCGTCTCTTTTTAGAATTTCCATGAAAGGCTCGACGAACTAGTACAATATCCACTGAGCCTTGTCGTTACTCAAGTTGGATGTCATCAGCGGTTCCCAGAAAGCCTCCTACTTAAAAGTTTCAGGAATTCTTAACTTCAGGGAAGTGCTACTGCAAAGTGGACTACACTCACGAATGTCGAACAGAAAATTCACATTCTATTTATTGCAACACGGTTTTTTGGATATGGAACCAGGTGTGCATTTTTCTATCGGTATTGCGGTAACCTGTGACAACATCTGTCACCTGCTACCGGATCAGCAGTTTGCCCGTAGTCGCACCCACCATTACAATAAACGTCACAATCCACTTTAATGACTCTAGACACCGTATCCATATGTGATTCGTATCCAGTTGTTTTGATGTGTTCTCATCTAATACCCAGAATTCGCTCTTCATGTAGCATCTTCTACGTCCATCGACTCTTTGTCGACGGAACATCGATTGTCAGGATGCACAGAGTCGTTCTTGGCTTGAACACATGTTCAGTGCACTGAAGTTTATGGCATATTCGCAGCCAGTCCTTCTTGGTGATCTCTTATATGTCCTTGAGGTGTCTACCTAAATGAAGTAACGAATGTTGCTGTGCAACGGAACATCACGGGGATAAATAAGCAAAGGCTGCTGTTTTCATTCCCCACTCTTCCGGACAATATAAAATGGTACCATTACATGTTGTATGATTATTACAGTAAAATGCATAGTTGATGGGAACAGATCTTACCAGGAACATTCATGTCATTGAATTTTACAAACACATCGTATGGACCGGCCTTAGTGGGTAGATAATCGACAGTACACGTGCCGTCCTTGTTGTCATGACACTGGATTTGTGCATCTGCTGGACCTTCGATCGCCAACCCCAAAGCACCTTGACCAGCACCGTCCAGATCAACTGTGAATCTCTGGAGTTCGTGTGTCAGGCCGCCTTCCAATCCGGGGCCATATACTCTTACTCTTGAAGGATCACAGCCAGGAGCTACGTTAACTGGGAACGGGCTGCCTTGTACGGGGGCACCGTCATATGTCACCTCAATATGATGCAATCCTTGGGTGAGGAGAGAAGTTGCGAGTAAGATCGCATGTAAGGGAAAACAACGAAGCATAAAAAGTCGTCCAGTCACATGGAACAGCAGTTCCCACCTGATAAGCTTTGACGATATAAGAAAAAATCCTCCCAATTTTCTGTGAGGCAGACACCAATGCGCCACGTAAGGAACAGTGTAACCAGTAATACTGGGAATACTTACGTGGTTCATTAGAAAGAATGGGTTGCACAGCATTCGGCTAACAGAATGAATCCTTATCCCATATGGTAATGGTGATTACAGGAACGTTAAATATGGAAAAAGTGCATTTAATCCTTCACTTTCAGGTCGTGTAACAAAACGGCTAGGGTAAGATCACAAACTGTCTTCCTTCAGTTTAGCAGCACAGAGGCCGTGAGAGAAGCCACAGAACATGAGGCCGTTGAAGTGAATCTGGGACTTTTCAAATATACGGTTAGTGAAGCCTAACTTCGATGCAACACCAATGAGGTGACTAACAAACAGTGGCTAAATCGTAGATTGCTCCACCGAGCTTTATGAATTATATTCAGCAGATGTTATTTCAAACACACGACTTATCATTTTCAAGTTATTGCATCTTTAGCACCGCCCCCTGTCAAATTTGACCTTTGGATGGAGTTAGCTCCTAAGGAACAATTTTGACGAGTCAACATTGCTCTCCGACATCAAGGGCAACTTTGCAGGACGATAAGGAAAACTGTTTCGAATCGTAAAAGAGAGCTCCAGCTGAGTCGCCTGTCAAAGCCAAACTGGTATGCAAATGAGTGTATTTAACTATTTTCCTGCAATTCAGATTCAAGCAGAGCATCGGATTGAAGAAAACTTTGGAACCGCACCTATCTGGTGAGCTCCAAAAAGGGCGCAGTGCATCCCGTGTACACAAGGCATCGTGATACCTTGAATATCGTACCAACTAAAACATAGGGCGGTCTGGTACAGCACATTCAGTTACTTATAAACATCACAAGAGCGAGTTTAAGCTAGGTTCAATGTGGGCCTCACCAGGACCAAATTGGTCGGCAAATGAGTGTATTCCGCTGCTAGTAATCTTGTTTACAGATACATGAAACCTTATCTGCACTGCAATTCCACTCGTGGTTCTATCCACTGCTTTGGAGGCAAGATAATGCGAAAATAGTTTTTTCTCACTGTCCCGTTCAACCACAAAGGGAAACTGAGGCACAAAGGCCGTACGTTTGACGGCTGCTAGTCGGTAAGCTAAGGCGTGAAACGTGCTGAGTCTGAGATGACGTTCTTTAGAACGAATAAGCTGACGCAACGGAATCCTCAGAAATGTGAGCTGACCAGATTAAAGTCGCGAACTGCGTCCTGAAAAAACGGTGTCGTCTTAAGGCTTTTTCTAGAAGGATAGGGAACAAAACAGGAAAGTACATGTGAAGATATTACTCCCGGTAATTTCGGCATAAAAACCGGAGATTGAGGTAAGAGTTAAGCCTCTCTGCTGTACGCGGAGGGTACTCCTCTCTGCTAGTAAAATTTCCAGTTCACTTATACATAAATATTATATATATATATAGGCGTATTCCTAAATTTCAAACTAAATTTTAATAGGATGTTTCAGTGTCGGCTTACTTTACAGATCAAGTAGATGAGAATTTTGACCAAACAGTTTTACCTTTTGTGACGGAGCTGGGTGTGCCTACGAGATAATGCGCATTCTGTCTATGAGTAATGGAGCAACGAATTAATACATCAGTTGCTGCAATAACAACGTGCGCTTGCGGTAAACATTAAAGAAAACTAATCCTTACTTAGTAAGGATTGAAAACTAGATTTGCAAGATTACGGGGTAATTTTAGGCAAGTTTGTTTCTTGGATTTGATCAAACTTGAAAAGATGGTGATATATTGGAAAATGTTTGGGATCGATTGGGTAGTCATCGTTTCAGAGAGGTCTGGTAAACAGTCGGTGGGTTGATTGTTTACCAAACTTCTCTGAAACGACATTGATATATGTTCTGAGGTCCAGAGTAAGCCATAGATATTTGTGTTGGAACAGTGAAAGTACTGCGTGGTTTTTGAAGTGATACAATACTAAATGGAAGATTTCCGTTGAGGGCAATAAACAAGAAGGAAAATAGTGTGGTTATTTGACTGTCTTATCAGATTTCTCAAAAGGTCGGTTGTGCGCACTGCACACCAAATTGATTTTTAACGTGAGGCTCAGCCAAATTTAGGTGAAATTCTCGTTTTTGATGTTCTTCTACAGTAATGCTTTATTATTACTGCTTGGTGGAACACAATGTCAGTGAATGTTGCAACCCACGACAGTTTTTGCTCTTCTTTCAGCTCATGGAATAGGTGCACACCCCGAATTTCAGTCAACCTTGCCTTCTGCTTGAACATTAACTTGCGCGTCAGTAGATCATTTGCATATTTATCTCTAAAGACGGCAGTGACGAGCACTAATTTCCAGCACCCAGCACCCAACCACTGAGTGGAGCTGGAACAAATTCATTTATTGCGACGGGGTACCAGTGTAACGGTGATACTACTGATGAGGGAGGCATGCGAGTCCTATGTTTTCTCGTAAATCCGCTTTGCGTCTTTTGAAAAGTGAGTCGCATTTGCTTGTATTTGAGCAACAGTCAATGAATATCCAGGAAAGTTCAGGAAGACCTGTTCAAGGAGAAGATAGGTATTCAGTTTTTGTAAACAAGATGCATATGAGAGTTTTGCTTCCCTGTCCAATAGACTGTAACTGTTCACTTGGCGTTTTCCAATAAATAATTCCTTTCACTAGTAGCGGATTTCGGAATTTCGATATACACAGCGAATAAGATGCTGGTGTGAATTTCGCCACCAAATGCCGGATTCAGCATAATTTCGAAGTAAGTCGTGCTTGCTGGATAGTTAGAGCTTCCTCTGAATAAGAGGACGAGTGGGTCTGCAGACAGTTTTATGTTTCAGATAGGCAGTCGGTAGGCTTAAGCGGCCAGGGCAGAGACGGATGCAAGTTTACTCCACCGCCAGACAGAGAGACCGGAATCACCAGCCGTTCTCAAACCCAGTTTGAAAAACTGTGAGTACTACGCATCCCCCGGTTGACCTCAGTGGGATATCATAAGGAGCCAACCATAGGAATGAAAATGGTTTATGCGACTGGTTCGGAATATGACGCATTCCACGATAGAATATCTAGCATTTATTAATCTGAGATTTAGAAACTTTTGGGGCAAAGACAGTGGAAATTGAACGAAACGCTTGAGCTGACAGATCTACATGACACCCACACCTAGGCACGAGCGAATGAGAATTCGTAGTTGGATTTAAAGCAGGATATTTTTGCCAGCGGCCTGGCCTGTAGTCTATTTTCGATTCCATTTGTGAAGTGAATTACAAGCCCTTAGATTAACGGAACGTTCCTTCAGTTCGTCACCTAGATTAGTAGGATGCTGTCCCTAAGTATTGGGCTGTCTCTAAGTCTCATTCAGAGACTTGTTTGAGGCTGGCTACTAAACACAAGTTATGGTTAAATCTAAGGTAACAAGTGTGACTTAAAGCTGGTAGACGCATAAGGCCTGAATTTGTAAAACCTAGGCGAAGTAGTAAATCTAATTAAGTTCCAATCGTGTACACCACAAGTGACCCGCCTATAAAATAAACATCTTATTTTGAAATAGGTTTGTAGTACACTTCGGTAATTTAATCACTCGGTTGAAGAGTAATCAAAGCAAACAATATTGGCTGAATTTGCCTTTCAAGTTTGCAAATTTTGGTTGAAATCGCCGGCATTTGCTGGAGCTACATCACAGGCCGAATTACCGGTGCCTTCAAAGGTTGCATTTCCACAATTCATGTAGAGGATAGTTTGTTTAAATGACACCCTGGTATCCGGGATAGAACGCTGAGTCATAGCAACAAAGGTTGGTCACTGTACTCTCCATTTTTTATGTTTACATACCACTTCCGAAATTGAGAAAGGATTTTAAGATCCCGTCTCTTAACCTGTGGACGATCATTTTAACAAGATCACTACGGTCATCTGTTCCAAAAGAGCCGAAAGCACTAAGAAAATCCAATGTGGTCATTTCGTGTCTCACTACATTTTTAAGTTTTAGAAGTTTACTTATCGTAATTTGGAAAGCGCACCCTGCGATCATGTGATTTTGATGTGACCTCGTCAGGCAAGTGCATATAATTTATATACATTATATATATATATATATATGTAATTTACCGCACATGTCATTTTGATTGGTATATCATCCCCTCGACAAGTAAGGCGGTGAATCGTGCACAACATCACTATATGACACAACGCTGAAAACCGGGATTTGATACTGGACAGTCTTGTGTGTTTTGAACATTGAAGCTCACGAATTAGCTAGCTAGCTAGGCAGTCGCCAGAACGTTTTATCTACATTTCCCCTCAAATCTGTCACAAAGATGACGGAATCCCTTGAACAAAGAATGACCGTTGTAACACGTTGATCGGAAACTCATGGACTGTCAACCCTCAGGCCAGTTCGAAAAGGACTGGTGGAAACATGCGAAAATTTGGCGAATTTTTACCGCGTTCTGGGAGAGCCGGTATGATCGAATTTTGGGATAGCCTTTCTGCATGACTTTGAATTCACCCTTAACCTGTACTCCGCAGGCTTTCACTGGGCGAAGGTGGACAAAATTAGCTTCAACTGAATAGGCTAGCACTCAGTAAGTGATATTCTGCCAACACACAAGCTGTCCGTAGACAGGAAGTCATGTTTCTCTATGAGAGCAAGTAGGAATTTAATAGATTCTCAATTGGGGGTGATCTTTTCCCGAGATCAGTGGACAAATGTAGTCACATCGTACAACTGGCTATTGCAACACGCAACACCAAGAGTAGGTTGTGCGGTGCGCTACATTACTGTTTGTTGCCGCTATGATTCATTTGCAGTGGTCTTGTCGCAATTTATCGCTACCACAACACACTGTCAGGTATAGTGGAGTCGAATGCTTCAGTTTAATTGTCCCATTCCTATTGTCGTGGAGCGTAGAAGAGAGTATACCTTTGCTTATAAAGATGGCACCGGCATCTCGTCTGCTACTGTTTAGGCTCGGGCAACCTTGCAATATCACAGCCATGGTGGTTTCTTCGGATAGTATGGCAGTTAGGCACCGTAACAGGCATTACAAGTGAACACATGATGGTACCGGTTTATAGTATACGATCAATTAGGTCACTTGATTTCCTCCATTATAAGAAGGTATAAAAATGCAAAGTTTTCACTCACCATCATCCACAGGAGAATAGCTACATTTCCATGTACCGTCTCCATTGTTTTGCACCAGACAAGCTGTGCGCTGTTTGTGTGGGCTGACCACGATTGCTTTGACAAGGCCGTGTCCTTGTGGATCAACTTGTTTCGCATCCACTGTGAACTTGGCAAATGATTCCTTCAGCACTCCTAAAACAGATTCAAAATAGCAATATTACTCAAAAGTAATTTGGTCTGTTTTGACTCAACTAGTGGCAAGTATCAAACTTGGAGCGTTCATTCAACGGTCACTCGTTTATCAAGGCATTGGACAACATAGTGACATAACTGCATTCATACATTGAAAATGACATTTTCCAACAGCATGAATAAGACAGAAAAGCCGATTAGTCATGCGATGAAGAAATCAAGCGTCTGGTGGACAGTCGGCTGTACAGGAAGACACATCAGTTGTTGAAAAAGAGAACCCGTTGAGAATAGTTCATTACCACTCTCCAACTCATCATAGCATTCCTAGATTGACGGGCTCGGCTGGTGACATGCTGTTTCATCGTAATTGACAAGTGAGCAAAACCAGAACGAAGGAAATCATTAACATTTAACACCAAAAGCTATGTGGCATGCAAACATGCATCGCAAACGCGATGTCCACTCCAACGATATCGGTTTTCCTATCAGCGTACCAGTGGGCTGCAGACCGGGACCATAGGCATGAACGCGCGACACATCTATGTGTTCTCGTCCTGGAGGTGCCACGCGAACTGGAAACGGACTTCCTTTAATATGGATGTCTTTGTACAGAACATTAACCGTGTATGGTCCGGGCTCCATTGGTAAGTATTCAACACCACAAGTTCCATCTCCGTTATCTGCATAGTTGATTTTCGCTTCAGCTGGGCCTTCAATAGTGACGCTGAGTGGTGCAGGTGGGGCATCACGACTATCGATGGTAAAGTGCGCCGGTCTTCCCGACGTGGCATGATGCAGTCCATCGCCATAGGCACGAACAAGACCAGCTGCTTCAATCGGACTAATCTGAGTGACAGGTGCATGTTTTTGCACGGCATTTGCAACTGGGTAAATTGGTTCTTGAATGGCTACTTCAGGGTTTGCTTGAATGCGAAACGGACTCCCCTTCACCGGCATCCCAGCGATATCCACCGCGACAGTGTGCGGTCCAGCGACCGTCGGAGTAAACGAAGGAGTAAACCCATCAACTGTCTCAGCCATAGTACAAGGAACACGCATTCCAGATGGAGATTTGACCACGACGTTGGGTCGAGGCTTATTGTTTGAAGGTGGACCTGCGCCTGCTGTGATCACATCGAATTCGGTCGGTTTGCCTACCGGAATATCTACACGCATACATACATATACATAGAGTTGGCACTGGAATGGCTGATAGAGGGATGCAAATACGAAATGCAGATAAACAACCATCTCGGTCTCAACGCTGCCTTGGTGTGGTCTAGCAAAACACGACACATCTAAGCACATGTTGCAGCAAAAGTTACGAGTGGACGGTTACTGAGGACAGTCTACGCTAAATCAAACTCTTATAACTCAGCTCACATGAATAAGAAATTGAGTCCCATCGAGGCCAACTGTTTGCGCCCCAACTCAGACAAAAAAAGAGAATAATGGGGTGGAAAACAGTTGATACGAGTCATTCGCTTTTGAAAAATAGGAGCACTGTGATTTACAACAACGGAATTACACAGAGAAATGAAGGGTTTTTTGAGAACCTATATATAATCACATGCTCGATTCTGCGGGATTATTTGCCATGAGGTTTATAGAAAGAATTATTCACATTTGACCAAACGGCAAAACCAACGCCTTCTCAGACGTTTTCTAAAAACACCAAGTTAAATACACTTAACGGAGTTGCAAATGTATTCCCAAAAAGAGGGAATTTCTTACGGAGATGGGATTTTATGGATTGACGGTTCCGAACTAATGTGTATGGTGATAGTCGCTAGTTTTTCTCTCTGCTGAAGGGTATTCTTTCATATGCGGACGATTTAAGAGGCTAACTTCGATACTAACGGTGCTTACGCGCCCAAAGGAAGCTTAGTTAAGGGATACTAGGTGGACGAACGCTTTCTTAACAGGAAAGATAACTGGACTGCCGTCATCTACAGGGGATAGGCTGAGGTTACCGAGATCACTGAAACTGCTTCGTAGTTGGAAATTAAGGACTGATGAGCAGAGGGCAACTCAACCATACAATCATTGGGACATTAAGTTTCAATGGTTATTTTGTGGGAGAATAGGGTAAGCAAAGACAGAAAGTTGTCAGAACCATAAGTACAACGAGATGCATGAACCTTGTTACAACCATCTTGGGCGAAAGGTGTTCCCGCCTTCACTTGTATAGGTAATGGAACGTTAAAATCCCCCGAGAGTTTGTGTTGAAGCATTTGCACTTGTGTGACCGTTGATTGAGAATCAGGACCGTGAAAAAGTGTACACTTACGAGCTGATGACGCTTGGTTTGCGCGAGATAAACTCAATGTGAAAAATGGAATGTTTGCGTTAGTTTTCATCTGTCGCATTTCTCCTGCACCGACCGGTAAGTGGACCAGCTCCCAAAGAAACAATATACATCATGGAAGGGGGGTGGGTGGGTGGGTTGCATGACTAAATCGAGATACTAGCGATAGAGTGGCCGTTTTCCTGGTCTAGTGTTCTCAAATCTGGCCAAAGCAATTCCCAGTCCCAGTCCCAGTCATACGGGTGGTCTGCTTAGCCTACGTGTGTTGTGTGTAGTTGTCTGCAGCAAAGATAACCCGGAACTAAATGAATCATGAAGTGATTCATCTCTGTCAGACATAATTCTACATTCAGACTATGCAAAGAGTACCTAGATGGGTTATATTGTACCGTAATCACCTGGAATAAGTCACAGTGAGGATGGAGGTATAAATCAGCTGGGGTGCCTGGTGTTCTTGTCCATGAGAGTAAGGCGGCGTGATGTGGAGTAGATGCGCTCATATACTGGGCAAGAACGAGTAGATCGGAACCTCTTGGATCAGCTAATATATATTGAACAATCTTACCTATAAGTACTGAGGATGTGCATGTGGTAGGCCTTTCGGAAACGAGATTAAGGTTATCAGCTGCCTGCTTGCGATAAAACTGGGTTGTTGATTGATTCCTTTTTAGAGTGATTATTCCGCGCAGTTGTTTGGAGGAAGACATTAGGGCCGAATTAAGTTAAGACTACAATGCCTGTTTTGATGACTTCCTCATCTGTCTGAATTTTAGGACTATCTTTATAAGGTAACTTTGGTGCGGACTTTTGTGAGAGTCGAACAAGGGCGCCATCTTAACGTTGTCGTAGAAGATGAAATACATTTGTTTCCAAAGCCGAGTTTTTCCAGCTAAACAACAAAAGAACCTGCTTTTATCTGAATAAGAACATTGTTTTTCAGGTTATATTTCTATGTATTATTGTTCTTACCTGAAAGCCATGAAGCCCAATTGGAAAATCGAGTTACGGATAGTTGCGTACTGTTCCTTGTGAGCCCCAGAATTGCTACCCACAAATGATTGATCCTAAGGCTGGAAATGTTCACTTAATTTGTGAGCACCAGGTCCCTTACGGTAGCCAGTTATTTTCGACTGCCAGTTTTTTCTTACCGATGAATTCTCCCCATTTATGCCCACCCGCCTGCTTGCATACTACTGTCAAACGCTGATTACCCGGAGTCCTAAAATCTTATGAGATCAAGGGGTTGTGGAGATATTGTTGCTAAAATGAAAGTGCTTGGTGCAAAGAAGGTGCATCACAAAAGCTGATCCAGTACATTGGTTCTGAAACATGCACTGCATAGTGGAGTAAAGCTTATCAGTAAAGACCGTTGGTGAATGCTACATGGCAAACTCGGGGGAAAACGCTCCAGAGGGTTCATGCATTGTCGTAGTTTTATAGAACAAGTGGTTCTGTTCACAAAATTCCATCATTGGGGAGAAAAGGCATAGGATTTTACAGGGGTAAATTTTTCCCAGCTGCTGAAGCAAGAAATTTGCCGGCTCATAAAGGTTGGAACGAAACGTTGAGAGGACCATGAAGGACGAACCCTGTAGAGTGAGGTGTTTAGTTTGGAGGAGTGTGCTGTAGTACACTATCACAGAGTATTTAGCAGTAGGCTGCTGACGTGTAATTTATCCAATCACTGCACGATCAACGGAAGATATACCATCAAATACGGATGGTTTCTTAGCTTGACGCGCAGATTACAAACGGCGGAGATGAAAACAACTATTCCTTGTGGTAGTGATTTAACGAATAGCCTTATCTCGACAAGTTCGCCCACGAAATGAAGCTCAGCTGCACTTTATACACGCACACTTCAGGAAGGAGACTTACTTGGACTCAGGTTCTCCACATGAATCTTGGACATATCAATATTGGGCTTGACAGGGACTCGGAAAGGACTTCTGGGGACTTCCTGGTTATTGAAAAACACATGCACAGTGTACGTCGGACCTGGTGTGTTGGCCGTATATGCAACACGGAACGTTCCATCACGCATATCCTGTGTGTCCATAGCCACATCACGGCCTGTCTCGTCTGTCACGCTGATTCCAACATTCCCTATGAGTGTGAATACAGGCGATACAAATTCACTTGATCACGAAATACAGCATCCAAGAAGAACAGAATGTTTCCGTGATACCTACGTGATACGCTCCCGTTAGTCTCAAAGGATCTAATTTAGGAGCGAAACAAGCGCTTATTACGCTTTTGCGGTATGTTGGATATGTAAACCACTTTTTGTCGAAGCCTTTAGAATAACACAAGTTGGTTAACGCTTTAGAAAAAGTTTGGTGACAATCGGTAGATTTATTGCTGGGCAACGTTTCGCTTTTGACACTAGCCAAGTGGCTAGGTTCCGAGGTTCGTTGAGATTTAAGGCGGAAGGAGAACCAATCAGCTAAGTCAAGCTAAATCTCTGTTGGGTGTTGGCCGAGGGATTTTAGTGTGTTAGAGTGGTTGAACAAGTGTTGAGTCGGTGGGGAAACCTACATGTGTTTGGGTCCAGCCTAGGGTCTAGTTTTTCTGGTCCGGTTATTTGATGGCTCCTCTTGAACTTCGTTTGAACCTTCTGTCATTCTGTGTGGGTGAGCCAGTACTAGGAAAGCTGTGTAAGAAGGATGCTGTGACCTTTGGTCTGGTTGGGATTTCCACCCCTAATGATCCTAAGTGGATTGACAACCACACCATCACGTGTCAACTCGGCTTATCTAAGACCGCTTTCCATACGCTCACTAGCTCCACACCCTCGATTCTATTCACGCTGTGATGCTTAGTGATTTCCACCGCCTCGGCTATCAGCCGCTGTGGTGTGAATCGCAGTCCCCGTCTTAAAATTTCCACATTCTCCAGATCTATTATATGTCCCGTGTCTGAGGCATGTACCGCCATCGCTGAGTCTCTTTCCGCCTTAAATCTCGACCAACCTCGGAACCTAGTCACTTGGCCTGACGAAGGTTTTGCGTCAAAAGCAAAACGTTGCCCAGCAACAAATCTACCGATTGTCACTAAACTTTTTCAAAAACGATGACTACTCAATCGGTTTCAAGTAGTTTTCACGTGATTGAACAAGTTGGTTAACTTTAAAGCAAACCCTGTCTCCGACAGCTTGTTGGGCTTGCGCGCGAGTTACTGCAGCGTATCATCCACTCCGACCGTGCTTGTCATTCTTGGACTAGTGTCCAGAATCACGCAGTTCATAGGGGATCTGAACAGCTTAAAGAACGAGTTTATTGATGCAGCCATTGAATGACAGTAAACTTACCGGAGGAATGAATCAAACCGCAGCTTAGCTTCTGGCATAGATCAATGACTTTCCGCCTACACATAATCAGCGGCTGTTGGTGTGTCTACTCATCACGAGTTCTCTCTCTCTCTCACAGAGGTTATCTGTAGCAATTCTGGTGCCGCAAACTCGCAGGTAGGTGCATTTTGGTTCCCCTTCGAATACGCACTGATATATGAGCACCATGATTCAACTCACGTCATTGTCCGGGTAAACGTTTTGTTGTAAGTATTCAAGCTCAGTTAATGAGACTTTTGTGGCTATCACTGTAAGGGTCAAAAGAGTGCAGTAATCGAACGAATCGACCAGACATCAGTCAAGCACTCTCAGTTGAAAGTCAGCCGCATCAGTATGAACTTATCCATACAGGATCCACTCAACAGCACAGATGTCGTTACCTGACTTAAACTGGCTTTGCAACCAGGAGACTGGAACGCCATCAATGTTACTACCACAGGGTGAAGACAAGAACCGACAACTAATGATTGCGGAGAGCCCACTGTGGTTTTTATCTAGTATGGTAATCGAGGAGAATATCAAAAACCTATTCCAGTAGATGCTTTCCCTCCATGCTCCTGATCACATAAATTCTGCTCAGATTACCGAAAAGCTCATCCTGCCAAGTGGTTGTTTGTAAAATCGACGAGAAACAGTCAGTGGGGGCTTGAACCGTAGTTTCTTTCCTGTTATCGGCATTTTTATTGGCCTAACACTACTGTTTCCAGTCCATGTGTTCACAATGATCGTCTTACTTTCCACTACTGTGATTTTCTGCTGTTGCAGAAATCATCAAAGGTTACATTCATGAAAACTGATTTCAACAGCGATGAAGATAATAGCACCAGGCACGTTGTAAGTCACTGTACTTGTAAATGGCGCAATCCAAGCCTACGTTACCGTTAATTATCAGAGTTTTGGTCATTCGGTTATCTGGTCTTCTCTTAGGTTCCGATAACAGTACTCCATTGATTGTTATTGATCAACAAGAAAAGCTCACCTTGTCCAGCTTGTTTACAGTCGACCGTGAAGTGAGTTGGTTCGCCCCTGACCACACTTTCGACCCCGGGTCCAAATACGCGTACCTTGCCCGGTTGACTTGGCTCAGCTACTTCAACCTGAAAACAGGAAGTTGCAAGTTGGGAAGCAGCGTATAGTTTTTTGGTTGCCTTGGTGATGGAAATTTTCTTCGTGCATACAAACACAATGCACAAACAAATCCTGAGTATTGTATACGTTGTCATCAATGACAAGGCAGGCGATCCTCTAGAAAAAAATTTGCCAAATACTGTTCACCTGGGAGAAGAAATAGGGCTTTTGTTCAGGAACAGTTTTTTAAATGACACTATGATACCAAGTGGATAGAAAACTTGTGCCATTTTTTGCGGATTTTGTTAATCCTTTGCAGTGTCATCAGCTTAGAAGCCATTAGGGACATGAGTACTATTACGAAGAAAGAGTTCGCTGGAGGTATCTTCGAATAAGTGGTTGCGTACCTTTTGAAAACATGCATAATTTTTCAGCAGTGTCGTTTCCACTAATGTCTTCTCTTGATGGACCACTTTGATATGGTCCTGCGAAACTCGACTTGGAGTGGACACTGTTTGAGGAACTACTCTTCAGCTGCGAACTAGATCTTTTTAGACCTCACCGAGATGCCGAAATCTTCCACTTGAAGACGGGATAAAAAACTCACCACATGGATCATTTTGTGTTTCAGTACCAAACATAAGTGGGACCAAACGAAGGATAGCGCAGTTTGTCCTCTGTTCCTCCTGATTACACTTTTTTATTCCCTTCAGGTAAAACGATGGGACCGAATGAAAATCGTCTCTTTGGGGCGGGCACTGAACGGTACTGGTAAACTGAATGGCTGAATCAAAATTCGTCCCATCTAGGGGTTTTATCTCAGATCAAAGGACTTTATGTGGGTTTAAATAGACAAACTTCTGAACCTTATGATACTATGTCCTTTACTTCTTCAGTATGGTCCACGTTAGCCACTAGTATTGTTGTACCTACGCAAAAATTTTATTGAATTGCAGGCCTTTGAGGAGACTGCTTCCCGAAATTCTACATAACACCCCATCGTTATACTACTGCTGTCCCTTTCAGATAGGCTACCCGCGGTACAGACAATCTGAATATAAGTAGGCTTTCTTGGATTTCAATGAAGCTTTCATGTGCTAAAACTTTTCTAGGAGAATGGAGACCTCTCAGAGGATATTTGACTTAATCTTCTAGACCGCTGGCGTAGTAGAGGAATCTGAGTGGCAGAGTGTTACCGTAAATCAAAGTGATTGTGAATGGCAACCTATACTAGCTGAGCAATGTGGGGCTAACTTCGCCACGGTTACCACAGAATCACAGTTGCAATCGTTTTAATTCACTTTTCGAAACTGAAACGGAAACCACTCAGAGTGTTTGCGCTGTGATTGTCAAACAAGTGGTGTAATTTGGTGGGTTCAGCAAGTCTACGGACAAATGACACGTCATAGATTAGATTAAGGCCAGAAAGATGGAAGTCTCTAGACCCGCAGACGCGTGCTGCATGACATTTTGAATCTGGAAAGGCACGGTGGAAGTGATCCCACCAATAATCATCACTCAACTTAGACCTTTTCTGTAGAATGTTATGACCTCTGGAGATGTGACTGGCGAAACTCCAAAACTCTTGTTTTGAGACAAAAATCTGGAGGTAAAATTCATGCATCGGGTTTTTGTGTCTTACCAGTCATGCAATAAAAATGAATATGACTAATCTTGCTCCAGAGGTTTATTTCTGGGTTCGATAAGGACCCTAAAATGAACTCCAGTTTTGTGACTCTACTTGAATCGGTTGCACTTTGTTGCAAAAAGTTCCGTATCGATAAGGTAATCAAGGCTTCACAAGTGCCTTAGCGCACTTTGTATTAGCCCCAATAATATGGACGTCAGTCAGAATCACAGCGGTTTGTTCCACGGCTTCGAATAATTGAAATTTTGCTTATTACTAGCCAGCAGCTTCTAACGAGAGTAGCAAACCGACCGGTCATATTAGATCTTGTGAATATTTGTCAGTGTTTATCATCAGCCCTGCATCTTATAGTGCTTGTTCTCAGACAGTCGTTTGGTCTGGCGAGGATTAGGAGGACGGTTGTGACATCTGAATGCGATGTTAAGAGAACTGAACTGAACTGCATTCTGAGCTCAGTGAATCCACGCTAGTGCAGTGTAAGGGGTTCTGAGCAGTTGGTTGGGGTTTTTCCATTCTGATGCCTCGTTTGAAGGAACTTTGATGTCGGATTTAGATTTTTAATCCATTCCGCTTACGGTGAGTTGTCTGGATAAAGTTGTATTCATGATGAGAGATCTAGCTCACCTTATTCCAAGTAGGTGAAGTTTTTATTCTGAAGCAAACACCGGTGGTGGAACCAAAACGTCATCATTTTAGCTATGGTCCCTATGTTGACATATCATGTGTATTCCTCCTTGCTCCAGAAGCACTTTCATTGGGTTTCAAAAGCCACTAGCAAGCTTACCAGCATAATGACTGCTCACGATGGTGCTGTCTATTGTGTTGAATGCGCAAAATCACACCAGCTTAGCCCACAATCGTTACGGAAGTGCCATTTCTTGGCCATCGTTCCTTCCGACTGTGGAAACCCCCAGCAATGTGCCGGTGATTTGCGTCTGCCATAAGTGTGGCCCTGATTAGGGGAGGTCTTCATTTTTCAGAAATAAAAGAAGTTCAAAGTATTAGTTCTCCAGCTTCCATGTTTTACCGTATCACTCCCCTTTGGATCCCTACCCATGAATGGTCTTTTTTGGAGAAGAGCATGTTACAACTCAAATGACCTAGCAGAGTTCATTGATCAAAAACAGAGCACGAGTTTTTAAGAGCAGCTATCGGTCAGTTGCAAGAAAATTAGTGGAAACAAATTTTTACATTTATCAGCGTTTACGGTTCCTCAGATGGCCACCGTCAAAAGCAGCAATTTGCAGTCACAGCAGCTGATGTACCAATAAAATAGTGGAAAATTTTATGGAACAAATTTGAACCAACTGGCTTGGAGCTAGAATAGCGTTTATCTGTGACTTCAAAGCAAACCACCACTCGATTGGAAACGATAAATGAATATAAATCGTCAATCACAGCAGGTTATGGATACATTTAAATGCCATATATAATCGATTTTTTACCAGACAATCCGTCAACTCACTCGGAAGGGACTTCGGGGTACGTTTACCGTGCCGTATGAAACAAGCACTGTGTGTTTTCTGGGCACTTTGGGAGTATAGCTACATGTGTACGTGCCGTCTCCATTGTCTCGAACCTTCAGTGCAACTGGTTCCCCTTCATTGTCCCGACACTCCACGGTTAGTGGTGCTGGGCCGCCAGCATCCCGAATATCCACGACGAATTCTGTCGGTTGTCCAGCCACATTCCCCGTAGGCATAACACCCTGACCGTGAACTTTAACCTAAAAACAAAACAAATGTTGACCTCTGAATGTTGCCCAAAATGAAATCGATTTTTCCAGATCGAATTGCTCGCAGTAGCGTACTTAAAAGTGTTGCATGCAGTGAAATCATCTTTTAGTTACAAGTCAAACTTACACGATCCGGATCACATTTGCCCATGTCTGGTTCAATTGGAACCATGAATGGAGATTTTGGAATATTTTCGTCATTGCACAAAATGTGGACCGCATACTCTCCGGGAGCAGTTGGCCAGTAAGCCACGGTGGCGGATCCGTCACCGTTGTCTGTACAATCTATTCTAGCCTCACTGGGTCCCTCGATCGAGAACCCTAAAATGCAAGACAAATGGGTAATGTAGTGGTGTGTGAATACGTCAAAAGGGGAATATGTCGACGGACCGCGGTACTACTTCTACTCTAAAACGGTGGTACTCAAATTCTGAGCCAGGCTATATCCATTGACTACTGCAATGTTGATGATTTTCAGGCCATCTGATCACGTGGCCCTTGATCCGGTCGCTAGGCGACTTGCTTTCAAATGTTCCGTCATTAATGGAAGTGCGCGGTAGGGTGGTCACCTCAACCCAAGAGCGCTTATTTCATTAGCGCCACACAGGCAATGAAACCTAGGGGGTGTGCGAAGACTCAGTGGAAGTTAAATAATCACGAGAGTGAAATTACTGATTGGTTCGATATCTAGTGGAGAGCTCAAAGACCGTCGAGAAGAACGACATGTTTGATTCAAAAAGATATTACAACCAGTCGGTTTTTTTTACCAACGGTATTCTAGAAGTGGTACCCAATCGGAAGCAAGTCTTTCCGAATCAGAATAGTCTTTTAGGAAGATGGGGCACAGTAAAACGGAATTGCTGACCAACCGCCATCCAGTTAATGTAAACAGCAAATGATTTTGCACACTTGATACGTCTGCAGTAGGCATGAACTCTCCGTTGCTCCAAGCTCCCTTACAGTGACCTTGACCAGCTGTTCATAATTACGCCGACATCCCATGTGGTTTGCCAGTAACCTGCGTTTTGTTTTTATGGTGCAATTAGTGGAAAAGTGATAAACGTAAGGCCTAATGGATATGGTAATTTCCAGGACAGCCGCTATTTTCAGTAGAAAACTCAATGTGTTTAGTGAACAGAAATGAGGAAGCAGGCAAATGAGTGTCAACAACATTTGCTTTGAGCGATGCCGAAAAATTTAAAAATTTTGATTCGACATTTTGGTGGAAACCACAGAACAAACATTAGATGATGGACATTGCGCTTGGTTGTGGGATTACTACGACCAGAGCGGCGAATTCGGTTTTGTCTGCGATCCCAATAAGTGAACACAGGCAACAAGCATTTGGCGTCATACAGCTTCACGTTCAGCGCCACAGACTGGACAACCAGATGGTGTAAACAAAGAATACGGATTCATGCGTGTGTCTTAATGCACTGGCCGCCAGATTATTGGGTTTCTATATCATATCACCATCATTTTCGTGTTTCTCATTTTGTCCAACTGAAATGATGGTCATTCCTAAACTCCAGTTCCATTCCCAATAAATTCCATCATTCGCACGTATTCATGGGCGTACCAAATGATAGAATCGGTGGCGGACATACAGAATGTTGCACCGGTTTCAGCGTTTAGGACAGCCATTACCACAGATGCGTCGATTCTTTTAGACAAAATATCATTTGCTACCACCAACACCCCCATGGTTAACCATGTTTTCCACGCGGTTGGGAGAATCGATATTCAGGCGTCGACCACTGTATGCGCAGCTGTCAGGCATATAATCACATTTCATCTCTCGGCAGTTGCACGCGCACTAAGGCTCAACTTTAAGGCCATAAAGGCATTAAAGTCGCCCTTAAAGCAATTATCATGTCAACACAATGGTGATGGGAACAAAGCTCACGTGACTTACCGAAGTTGTGGGAAGTACATACGCTTACCAAATATGAATTTTGTCCAGAGTGGATTCATACAAACATTTGTGGTACAATTGAATAATAGTTCCTCAACGTCAAAATCTCGGTGCATATTGGTGTGAAGGTCCTACTGAGTTTCCAGACCTCGCCCTGCCGAAATACCACCGGGTCTAGTGACGGCCACGCAGCGCAATAATATAGGTGTCTAAAAAATTACGAGGCGTACCTGACCCAATAACTAGGGAACCTGTGACCTTTTAGGCAAGTCAGATTAGCCATTTTCATTATCTGCGTTCATATCATTCGTGTTTGGACAATCCTTTCCCAGTCCTGTTCTAGTTGATCTGGTTAGTTCAAATCAAACGAGGAGGCACTGGATCCTAGTTTCGCTTTTACCAGAGCTCGTCAGCAGAATAAGTCCTTGTCCGAGACAGGACTCAAGCCCTGGAAATCTACCATGCAGCCACCAGCCCACTAGAATATCTGAATTAACACATCAGAACAGGAGAACTTGTTCACGCTCGAGCGACATGACTGATTTGCCTGAATGCTTGAACTACAACCCAGTAACCTTGTCAATTGATCGGTACGCCTGTCAAAGGCCCCCTAGTCAGGCTGGGCTACTAATGACTGAAACACTGATTAACTGGAGTTAGTTGTCATAAGGTAGTCATTATCTTGACTGCTAAAGTGTCAAATTTTATGTTTCACGCATTCTAAGCCAAGCTATTTCTTGATCGAATCGTTTTTCCTCTTTTATTCTTCTTGAGTACTGCCTATGCACAATTTTCAAGTTTAAAAACAAGGTTATCAAAATGGTAGTTCACGTTTTTGTCCATTCGGTAAACCGATAAGAAGAATAGCTAGGCAACGTTACGACATTCACGTTTTATGTAGATTCCTTCAAACCGTGTTATTTTCGTACATTTGACTCCGTTTAGGTGACATGTTCAAACACACCACCCAAAAGTGCATACACGTCCACACAAGCCATATTGTCATGCGCGGACACAAGCGTAAGTAAAACTGGCATGGAAAAAGAAGGACGGCAAACTAGAAGTTGCAGTCCAGAAAACAATCAAAACGTCAATCATAACAGCCAAACCACACAACTGTTGCCAAGTGTCTTGGTGACATATGGTTGAGCCGAACCAGACAAAACATTGTAATATTTGGGTTTCCTGGTTTGCGCGCTATAGTTTTTTCCAACACTGGTGCCCGTGGACCTGAAGATCTCAATTCCAATTCGTTAGGTGACTGTATTGATGAATTTTCAAGAACAGCGCAATTTATCTAAATTAAGATACGTGGGTGTTTTGCCATATGTAATTCAAAGTTTTATAAAGCGATAGAAACAGAGGGAGAGCTTAATGGGGTTCACAGTCAAACGCACCTTAAAACATCAATTTCCAAGACACATTCTAACAGACTCAGTTCAATCTGTGGAGTAAAAATTCACCCAATGAATTAAAAGGGACCTGTTATCTACAGAATATTTCAACATTTGTGTGTTGCCTACCGTATTTCTGACTTTGCAGTGAATCCTTGATGTCAGTGCCATGTTCCCTTTAAAGCGTACTAATAAATGATACGAATAGGTAATTGGAGACATGAGTCACCCAGCCTACTCACTAGCCGGAGTTGAGAAAAGGTATGAATGATCTCCAAGTACGTGCTTACCAATAAGTACTTAAACAAATCAGGGAAATTCGGATGAGCCTAGCATTGTACCGGTAGATTGGTGGTAACATGCTCACCTCGCATGTCAGATGTGTTTGGGTTCTACCCCCAGCACTGCTGATAACTTGTCCAGTGCTACCTCCCCTTCGGAGAGGAAAATAATTGTTCAAACGAGTCATTTTACGTTCCGCAGCCCCCAACACGAAGAGTTGAGTTTTCCACGATACTGAGGTGTTACACTCAGACGATCTGATATGATGGTTTTCTAAAAGCGTGTTAAGATAGACTTCAGGCAGGAAGCCGAACTGTCTTTCATAGATCCTATCCAAAATAGCGGGGTAAGGGATAATGGATTTACTAATCCGGACGGAAGTATCTCATATTTGTGCGTGGCCTTCCTTAGTCGATGGTTCTTTCCATCCTTCTCAAATCCGTGGGATAGATTCTGATGATCTACACATCATTTTAGGAACTCTACGAACACGTTTTTTTGCTCCCACAGGAGCCACCACCTTACTAAATTTGGCTACCTTTGCTTACAGTTTACCATCTGCCTTCGGCTTGAATCGCCTCTCACTATCGTCTTGTTTCGTTACCTTCTGGCGGGTAACTTCCGTCACTGTTGATGAATCCAGGCGCTCATGATGTCCAACTAAATATCCGCAAAATTAGTCAGAATGTACATTCCTTCCAACTATAGATCATTAAAAAAATCAGGTTGCATTTACAGCGAATAAGCTTACCCAATGCGCCAGTTTCACCATTTGTTTCTACTACGAATACAGCTGGCTTGTTGACAACACCACCGGAGAGACCAGGTCCAAAGGCACGGATGCGCGAATCTTTATACGGCCCAACATCCACCTGAACCATAAAAGAAGATTGAAAAGAATGGGGTCGTGTGTAGACAGGAACGTGATGAAAAATTTCACATGTTTTGTCACAACTGCCATAATCTGGTGGGCTTTGAGATCAGGCAGGCGAAGTTGACTAGAGTTGGCTGACCACGATCTACTGACAACTTTGTCTGTCTTTTACGATCACAGTTTTTAGGCTGCATAAGTTCAGTCCCTGCAGAGCTGACTGTCGTTTACTCTACCGTATGATGGCAATAATTCTAAGCCCCTTTTGCATCCAAAAGAGCTTTACAAGTGTGGTTTGTTTACACTAAAATGGGCGTTTTTTGCCAACCAAAAACACATTTGGAAAAAACAGGGTGCAAATTTTCGTAACTTAACACCGGTGCAGTATTGACCATCATTAGGTTTTTATCTGTCTAATGGCACTAGTAATATTGGTTTGATACTCCAACCTCTTTAATGGGTACCTGGAATGACTTTTCTATCAAAATCTATGATGATCTACTTTAGGAACCTAAATGGGGATTGGGTCAGTGCCTAAGAGATACACTAGTCTTTAAATTAGTTTTGCACTTAAAATTATCTCAGTAATATACTTATGAAAGAGCCTTCTGTGCTCATCAAACAGGGAACTTAGCCCCTTACATGTCATTCGTAATGACAACCAAATGTCCATTTCAAGTCGCATGAGTTGAGCACATACAGACTAATCTGAGGTATGTTGCGGCAAATTGCAAGAAGAAAACAATACCTCTATCGCGAAAGTTCCGCTTGAACGGTCGAAGTCGAGTTCTCCAAACTTATATACAAATACTGAAATCTAACTGATGGAAACTCCTGAAGAGACGAGGGTTCCTGGTCTACTTTATCTCACCCACCCAGAAACACTGAGTTAAAGAACGGTGTTTGATAATGCAACTGAAATAGTATTTGTGTCAGGAGACCGGTTATAAATCGATGCAACCAGGACATCCTTTTCTGCGTGAACAGTGTTTCTTGTGCAGCGGAAAACCTAGGTAACGCACAAGAAGCAACTAGCTGTCACAGCAAATCCGGGTTCGCATTTGCTATGACCAATGAATCAGAAGGTCAGACATCCCATAAGTGGCATAACCGCTTACGGTAGGTCCACATAAAAAGGCACAATAAAGTAGCCCAAATGACCGCCACCTGTTGTTGGTCACCAACCTCTCAAAAACTTTTAGATGACCCAGGTAAATGCTGAACGATAGGTAGTTGAAGAAAGGTTCATGTGTTATGAATGAGGCGGTGAGCCAACGTGACCTTGGACTTAATCATCCAGGGATATGCTAACAAGAAAATCACAGGATACCTGAGATATTTACATGCTTGAAATGAGATTTTGCAATATACTTGTTCAGGTGGAGTTTTATTACTTCAAAGCTGACACAGTTCGGAAGTGTCCTGAGTGTTCTTTCAACCCATCGGATCGGTCGTGGTTATTCTTTCAGCCTCAATCATATGAGCCTACAAACCATTATATGTAACAACAATATCAACTTAGCTATGCAAACATCAGTTCACGTTTGCATACAAACGCTTAAATTTTGATTTTTTCAAAGATCACACACACTGGTACCCCTTGGCTTGACTGAAACAAACTAGTCAGTAGTATAAAGCGTTCTTAAAATTTCAAGTTGACCTGTGAATCCTGCTCACTTTCAGAGTGCAGTAAAACCGGTTTTTAGTTTTCGTGCGGCATTCTTCGAAATTGGAATCGCGAATTTGAAGGTTACTGATTCGATCCGTATGTTGTAACTGAGGGACGCTGAAGCACATCAACACGCAACCTGCACAATCTCAGTGAGTATTGTTTGCTCGATGTGAGCCTGACAAAGCAGTGTGTTTTTAATAGAAGAAACCTTTTAAACTCATCCACAAAGTGGTTATTGAGACTAAATTGGGTGCACATATAGTTAACTATGGACGAAAAATTCTGCGTAGTTGCAGAGCGAGGGAGTCCGAATCAAAGGAGTTTCCGCTAGTTCACTCATACCAGAAAGACGACAAATTAAAGAGATTTTGGAACCCGTACACCAACTTTCAGTCAGTATAGTCTCCTTAGCACTTTTAAGTTTATGGAGCTGGCAAGGTACATTGATATTGGTTTCAAATGTATGTGTTTTTTTGATGTAACGTCTGTTTTTACCAACGTCCCATTCGTGGAGACTGTAAATTTAATGTGATTACACTGGCTCATCCGGTTTGACAATCCCAATCCCCACTAGATTTTTAGGTGAACTACTTCTTTGAGGTGGTTACAACTCACAATGCCGACGTAATTCCACATTTCACAAACATATCGACGGAGTCGCCATAAGCTCTCCTTTTGAATGATATTTTGATGTGTAAACTGAAGCCTGGCCGACTAAGTTAGGAGACTGGAAGTACGCATTTTTATCGGCGGTACGTAAATGTTATCAAACGGCTCCGAAATACACGCTCTCCCGACCATATTCTACCGGGAACGTTTATCAATTCAGCTCAATTTGAAACTGGAAGTGACAACGCTCTACACTTCATAGACTTTAAACTAGTCAGACTATTGACGGGTTCAGTTTAGATATCTGTTTATAGAATACCCAAGTGGACGGGCACAATACACAAAATTCCATAGGTTTATGCTGTTGAGGCAGAAGCAGACCCTGATTTACACTTCAGCGAACCGAGCGAGGCGCATTTGCTCTGGGGATATACTGGACTTTGAAGTGCAGCACACTGCTAAAGTGCTTCGGGCTAATGTTTATCCAGATAGATTTATAACCGAGAATATGTCCGAACGTCCTATTCAGCCGTGTTGAAAGAAGCCATTGTACTTGAGCTTACCCTATAAAGGCGATCTGTTGGCACACACACTCAATCGCTGCCTATTTCAATCCTTACAACGCACGTTTCCGGCTGCAACTCGGCAGCCTTGGTTTACAAGAAACCCTCTGTTTAATATTAAACATGAGAGACAAGATGCCACTCCTCACCCCTAGAATATGTTTGTGGATTGTTCCCCGTGCTGTTGCTCAGTGGAGTTTGTAGCGCGCACGACACGGTAATTTTCCAAAGGGAGCACGTGAGCATCTCTTTCCGGAGCACCATCAGACTCGAAGGTTCAGCCAAAAGTTCAACGCGTCCTGCATATAATTGATACCGGGCACGTGATCTATCCGAATCCGTCATGCTATGCCGTCCACAGAGTACCCAATAGACTGCCAGCATCGATCCAACAGCCTAGCTTGACCACAACCAAAGCAGTCACGATTTGTTTGCCTAATCCGGTACTGTGCCGTTAAAAGCGATTCGTACAGACGCCGAGCCTACCTGTGTTATGTGAAAGGAATCAATCGGCCAAGTCGCTCAAAGGCCCTCTAGACTGTCTCACAACATCAAATTAGGTGCGAGGTGGGGTGTTTTTTGACTCCACGTTTTCTGATTCACTAACCAATCTTAGCTTATTTTTTTCCATTGTTTACCCCTATTTTAACTGACCTAGCAACGAGATTCCGGAAACATTAATGTTCTTCTCTGCGCTCTTGTTCACATCATGAGAATAGTTGATTAAGTTAAAGTTTTGTGGGCCCATTCTTTTTGTATGGTTTGCACTAACCTTTGAGCACGGGAGTATTGTGTCCTAGATGAGCAAATAACTTCCGCGACTACCGATTGTTTACCAAGCTCTTCTGAAACTTCCGCGACTGTTATCTATCTTTCTCCATCGCTACCTGGAGATTACGAATTTCTTCTAAGCCCTCTGTCCCTCCGCTGGAATTTCATGTTGGCAATTCCAGTTAATTGAAAACTGTTATCGGTTTGATTCTAATAGTGATTTAAAACGAACTGAATGTGTCACTTTAATGCCGCTGTTGACAGAAAGCTATGTCACACACTGGTCACTCTAGTTGTTGTACTTCACATACAGACCCATGTGGGAAATCCACTTGTTTACTGGGCCCTTGTATCGACCGCTTTTCCTACCCCGTTCTTGATGTCTGATTACATCAAACGGAAAATCGATAAAGTAATTTATGTATGTAGTTATGGGTAGCCTAGGTTATATATTCCGCCCAGCTCGCCTATGCTTAGACTACAGGGATTGTGAGTGCATAAAAAAAGACATGTTATGCGTTTGCCGACAAAATAACGAGTGTTCTTCACGTTCTCATTTGTCATAGATCATTTGTGAACCAGAAAACGCACATCTTTGGTAAAAAAAAAGACCGTGCGTGAGCAAAAGGCATCTAGAAAAGTGTGCAAAACATCATCTTGTCCAGGCTTATTGTCTTTAAGGTTAGTGAGCTGAACTAAATATAGGCATCAGCGAACTTTGGGGTGACCTTGAAGTGAAGCATAAAAACAAGATGATCTTGGGCCAGAATAGTCCATTTTATCAATCACTGTCTTCATTGATTTTATTGCTGAAAGACACTGGATTAACATCGTCCACTGACACATCCGAAAACAAATGTCATTTCGTAAATTTCGAGGGTACGGTGTTGACTAAACTACGAATAGTGATTGGCTCATGAATTCACCGTTTCTTGTACTTTTGACGGTGGTCATTTGCTAGTTCCGTGAGCGGTTTAAAAATGCTGGACCAGAGAAAAATGTCGGTAGCTCAGGTAGCGTAGATGGTGGTCGTTGGCTTGTTCGCTGAGCTGGGTACTTTGATTTGTGCCACAACCACTAACTCACCTCTACGCACTACTACGCTCCCCAGTAACGCACTGATGATGTCACCTCGATTGTTGATGAAACATTTGCAATCAAACTGCCCATTTCAGCGAACAAGCCAACGACCACCATGCTGGACCAGGTTTCTAGAAATCTAGCAAGATTTTTTATATAACAAGGTGTTAAGAAACAATACTGCCCTTTGTATTGCATCTGCTTCGGACTGAACTAAAACACAACAGCAAAGCTTGCTCAAATACAGTGAACAAATCACCGCCTGGATTCTCTATGTGAATTTTACCATGCACTTCTTAAATTTAAACAACCGCGGTTTTTTAAAACGCCTATTCAGTCTTTCATCTAACACTTCCGTGATTTTACTATCTGGAGAACGAAACCATAAGAGACCATTAAAAACACAGGAACGACATTTTCCTACCAACTTCTAGCTTACACTCACATTAAATCATGGAGAGTGAACAATCTGAGAAACACACAAAAACAATCGTTGTAAAGTTTTATGACTATCTTGCTTAACATTAGGACTGCCACTGATGGACTAAAAACAACTGCCGGAATAAAGAAATCACATTTGTCCAAATAGACACCAATAAAAGGGGAAGCATCAAGACTGCTGCCGGTTAATTGAAGTCATAAATGGGAGAATCGCTAACTTGGAACTAGGTCAGATGTTGAGTTTCTAAGACAACAGTCCATGAGGACAAATCCAGCACAAATGCATGGTAATGATCGGCAGGTGAGAAAACAGGAAACACGATGGCCTCAGGATAAACACAATGATGCCGGCAAATCCTTGCTGAAAAATTCGCCAGTCTGAGACAAACAACACAACTCCAAAGTAATTCGCCTAGCTCACCGTTTGAACTCGCAGAACCCCGTTGGTAGCTGTCAACCGGTTTAGGTATCATCATGTCAGCACTAGTTCTTTGTTATCATGGGTACATGTTGCAGCGGAACGTTCCCATCCCCGCGAAAATAAACCACTATAGCAGTGACCCCTCGAGGGTGTCCGTTCCGTACGAAAAACAAGGATGGTCCCTGGTTGCCCTCATCCCATAGTCTGGTTGTACAGTAGACAAGTAGGTGGACCGAGATGGGAACTGGCCTAACCTGGGCAACTCGCTGGTACTTCCGGGGTGATTTAGTGACCAGCAAGTTCGATTCTACATGGGTAAATCCCTGACAGAGTTTTTTCCCGTATCAGGCGCCCAGAATAAGTTGCTTCAGTCTGAAGTGAATCAAATCTCTCTCACTCAGTGCTTGCTTCGATTTCACAAAAATATTCTACAAAGAGTATTTCGATCACTAATTTCATTGTGCAGATATCCCGATCGTATCCTGTTACAGACTGCCGTGCATTTGTAGGCGGGGGTGCAATAGGAACCTACGCCTCTGACATAAGGTTAAACGTCACCGCTAGGCAGAACAGATGAAATTCCTTCAGACGTGACTCATCTATCGGAAAGGAGTCGGCGATAGTTTACATGGTAGTTTACATCCTACAGCTCATCGTAAAACGCCCCGGTTTGTCATTCCTATCATCTTACTATCATTAAGGATACCTTTACGTCAGAGGCGGTTACCAGTGTCTAACCCGCATGAAGGTCTCACTACATCTGAAGAGTTAAAAGGCATGTAAGACATACCAAGAAATACTAATTAGGGCGTATGAAGCAGAGGGATTTGGCTTACTCATCCTGTTGTGTGTGGTGAACAATTTACCTACATCGTTGCTATCAATTAACTTTCGATATGGATTGGGTTGTTTGTTGGCATAACTCATTCCGTGCGACTGACAGGGTATCGAAGCATGGATAAGGAGAACACTAATATCTTAGTTAGGCTCCAGTTACTGATCATAAGTTGGCAGTCGCCAGCATAAGATTACTACAGTAGGATTACTACAATACGCATGCTTAGCCTTCAAAGAATAAAGGTTAAGAAACTGTCGGCAGAAATCGATAGTTACAACCATAGGGTTGCTATTTTTGGGAGCTTTGATTCTTGCGTTGCCGTAATTCTGTTTTGCAAGCATATAATGAACATTTCGATAAACGAGGCAATCACTTTATAAGTGATTCAGCTCCTTCGAATTCATTACGCAATTTCCAGTTTTTTCCTCAAATAAGTATCCGTTTGTAGTTTGGGTACCGAACTGATGACATCAGAACCTGGCAAAACAGCCCTGTGTAACGCTGACATTCACGTAAGTTTGGCTGCAGCGAAAATGTCGCTGTAAATATCAAACCTAACATCCCATAGACATTCAAATTAATTTGGTTCGACTTAGATGCACATATTGATTCAGTTAAGCCATCACTCGAGTGAGAGATGTAGAACCGATGGAGATAGTAGAAGTTTTGAAAAATGCTTCCATCTTCAATCCGCAATGAGGTGACCTGCAGTAAGCCGTAAAAATTAATTTTTGGAGATTGTCCATAACATGCAGTAGTATGATGAACGTTAACAAATACACTGTGTGGAATCGACAAACGGGTCACAAGTCTAAGTGGTTGAATTTGATGCGCAACAAACTAGGTGGCAAATTAGCCTGCATCCCCCTCGGGAGATTTGCATCACACATGATCGGGAGTCACAAATCAGCTGGACGAAATGTGAACGTCTGCCTTCATCGTCACGTGAATCGGAACAGGAAAAAAACGATCGGATAAGCCGAATACTTATAAAGTGGCGCACATTTTCATCGGTTGGCTCGATAGGTGGATATGAGGAGTAACTGAGCACTGAGCTATTAAAAAATGGGTCGCGATGTGAGGCATGTGAGGAACCACCGTTTTACAGCTTACCACACTTCGGCATTTATGGCTGCTGTGATCTAGCACGGAAGCATACTGTACCATATCCATTTTCTACTGTTGGTTTCTACGGAACAGTACTCCATCGGTTTGCGCTTTCGCTAAAGTTGTGATCGACCGTGACCGATTCTCACGGAGTTGAAAGAGTTGGCCTCTCATCCGCACGTCCGCTACAAGTTGGGTGTCATGTCGTAAAGTGTGCCATGTCACATATTTGGTCCGTGGACTAGTCATGTATTTTCGTTCAAAGGTACACAACTATTACGCTTAAAGCAGGAATAGAGGAGGGTTGTTCATTCAAAAACTAAGCCTTAGGACTACAAAACTGCGTGAATTTGATCCAAAAGTTCCTCAGACCTTTAATACATCTTTTGGAGATGCATCCAAAGAATTCCTCTAGCGCTTACGGAAGGGGGGAGAAGGAACAATACTTGTGTGACCAGTGTACCAGAGTGAAGTTTGTCATCGGTACGAAAGAGGTGTAGTGAATCTCACAAATGCAATTTACTACAGCAATTACCGTGGACATATCATACTTAGATTACAGTAAAAACCACGCAGGGCACGTCTACAAGATGCAGAATAAATGAAACTGCGGCACACACCAAACTTTATTGTACAGCTACTGGCGTGAGTTCGTCTGGAGGCAAACGTACCGAAAAACGGACCTCTTCATGGAAATTATTAATGACAACTCCACCCTCTTCAATAAAAGGTAAAAGTACAAATTCCAAATTCTCTTTTTCCTAATCTTTTCTGGGTGGCGGGGGTTAATATTTTTGGCGGGGCTTATCTGGAAAAAATCCCGCTCTTCTTTGTGTACAAGGGTAGGTGAAATACAATTCGATATCTCGAGCATCGTAAAAACCGAAATGTCCAGTAGTTTTATGCATTAGATTGCACTGAAAATCACAAGCGAGGGATTAATTGGTCATCCTTTAGATAAATGTGCCAATCGGTCCTTGTCAATAGCTCTTTAGCTACTCTCTCAACTGTAGGTATACGGAAGTCGACAGGGAATCTCTAAGTCGGATTGGCCTCTGTAGTTAAAAAGACGTTATCCTTACGTAAAGCATCGCCTTTGCTGTCCGTCAGCAGTGAAGCTAAGGTCAAAGTTAGAATGATCGTTTGATATTACACGGTGTTTTCTTTAATTTTCTCTGACCTGAAAACCTAAAAATTCATTCGCAAATTTCATTTTGATTTTTTTTACCCGTAAACCTGCTGAAGAAACAAGGATGATATACGCTGTCTTGAGCAGTATGGAGTTGGTTAACCGGAGTATGGTATATAAAATGCGCTGTAGGTCTAGAAAAACTCACATTAAATGGACTGAGCATGATGTGGTCACCACCATATCGTACATGGACTTGATGCAATCCGGCACGCTGTGGGTTGTAGCTGCAGTCAAACAAGTATGCTCCGGTTTTTCTGGTGGTGCAAGGGATTTCCCGTCCGTCTGGAATAACAAAGAGAAACACGTTTTTACGAGTCATGGACACAAAGTCGTATACTATTACTTTCCGTCTACTGGAAGAAACAACTTTTCCTAGGAGCAGTACGTAGGTAAGTTGTCTTGCCCATCTGAATTGGACAAGTTAGAAAATGATTTAAAGTTTTCCACAAATTTCCTGCCCGGTGCATAAGTTTGTCGTCTTTTTGAAAATCGTAACATCATTCATAAACACGCTTTGAGAGTTTGAGAGCGATGCGTTCTTTTGAAGTATTCGTCCTCTATTTGGGATGGGATGGATGAGTAGTGGGGCCAATCTAGTGAACAACACTTTGATCCAAACACGCGAACCGACGGGGAGTTAAGATTTTTATCGTCTACCAGTCAGTTATCAGGTGCGGTTGTGACATTTGCATAGTGGGCAGCCGTCTCTGTGGAAGACTGACTGAACACTTAGCTACTCATCTGGCACACACGATGAGATAGCAATCAATTTGCAAGCCCAGCATCATCGATTTCAAGAAGCCTTCTAACTCCTTTCACCGTAGACAACAATCCACTCTTCTGTTGCAAACCGGTCCTTATCACTTGAGCACTATTGTTTCAGCTGAGATGGCTAGCCAGTGAACGCTGTTTAGTCCGAAGAGGTGATCCCTTTGGTTCCGTAAGCTTTGTCACCAAACGTGGTGATATAATGAGTGAGTGTTCAATTAGCGGTGTAACAATGCGCGTCTCAGCGCGCTGGTGTGTTCCCGCTTACAAAACATAGTTTGAGTTATTGTAGGTGTCGAATTCAGTAGCACTAGCCCATTATTTTCAGAATGAAAGCGGTCGAACACAGAGAAAGAGTACTTCAGCACAGTTCGAGTGGTCTTTTCTCATAGGTTTCTTCAAAATGATCTGCAGCGGGAGCGGTTTTAGGTCAAGCAAATCAGACAACAAAACTGGACACGCTTGCTCAACTCTCAGTTCATCCAAATCCTGGTCTACAGGAACACTACAAAGATGGAGAGCGTTGAATTCAAGGATTCTGGAATCCAACTTGGTGAAAGTTGCTTCAAATGTTATGTAAGTTGCGTTACTTGTGCCGTTTCACATGTCAGGTACTGCACGGTTCTTCAGTCGAACACATGATTAGGTGATAGGTCATACACCCAGCATATTTGTTAGGTCTGCCATATGCGCAAAACGAAACGTACCAGATACACAAACAACGCGAAATGCGAGCGGGTCGAACAAATGTGTTATTTATCGTAAGCCAAAAAATCAATAGTTCCCCTTTAAGATTCACCATATCATCATCATCATCATCATCATCATCGTCAGACAGCGCTCCTAACAAAATTAAACGGAATTCTCGTTCACACAAAAACAGTTGACGTGATGGTATAAAAGTAACCTGGGATCGCGTACCTGAAAACGCTTTCTTATAAAGGAGGCGAGACAGCGTAGTTACTAGGACACCTATACGGCAGCCACCTCAACACATAACCCATAAATTAAACGGAATTCTCGTTCACACAAAAGCAGTCGACGTGATGGTATAAAAGTAAACTGGGATCGCGTACCTGAAAACGCTTTACTCATAAAGGAGGCGGGACAGCGTAGTTACCAGGACACCTATACGGCAGCCAACTCAACACATAACCGGATAATACTTACCAGGTGCGATAACAGCAACTTCTAGGGGACCTTCGCCTGCATCTTCTGTGTGTACTTTGAAGTCCGCCAAATCTTTCACTCGCACGCCTTGCGGCTGAATACCCCGACCGGTGGCATACGCCTGTTTGGCGTCACACACTGAAAAATGGCGAGACGATGTCGTTTGCATCTTTATCTATTGATTTGACAAGAACAGTCGATAACTGGGAAACTCTTCACACCTAATTAGCAAATTGTAGGTGTGGTGCGAGTAAAAAACCATAACCGGTTACGGTCCACTGGTGAGTATGATAAATTATTCAGTAACAATCTAGGCCATCAATAAAAAGGTTAGAATCGATACATTTTGACGGCCGCCCGGTTGTAGAGTTTCCTGACATCCATAATAAGGAACGTACTTGATCTCCATAAAACCAGAGATATCTATTAACTGGGAGATCAAGTAGATTGCAAATTTCATGGATTGCTTTCAACAGAAATCCCATTGCTGTTCAAGACATTCATTTGAAACAAGTCCCAAATGATAACTTTCCACAGACTGTAGCAAACCAGCAGCTTCGGCCTGGCAACTGTAAGATTTGGGTGATAGATTTCCGTTCTCCATGCGGTGAATCTTAGAGGGGGGCGTTTTGTATAAGTTACGGCGACTGATGATTTCCGATCAATACGCCGCAGAAATTTAAACCATCTTCTAAGTCAATCGGGGGAAGTTAAGGTATCTTGGTAGTTGTGAACTAGTGACAAACTGCCGGTGACCACGACTCACTAAATTGCAATGCCCTCTTCTCTGTATCTCTAGATGTGTTTTATTAGTCACCGGTCTTTGTACTAGTTTTCATGATATATTTGAGACTGTGATAGGCCCCGGCTAGGCCTCAATCATTAGTTATTTGTTTGTATACTGACAATTACTGTTACGCATGATAATCTGAGTTTCTGACGATCTCAGTTTGTTTGGATTTCTTTGTGACGTTTCTAATAATAAACGACAGGCTCGATTAGAAACGACAGTTTGACACTAACCTGGACGTTTCGGGACAGACATTTTCCTCGGAGCTGTCATGGCTTGGACCGGTTCTGTAAAAGACACCTTACAGTAGAATAACGAACGTTGTTTTTTTTTACATGCACACGGTCGTATCACAATGAGCCATGCTTGAGTTCCATTGGTGAGAAGAATTCGAGTTTACATGCAGTCACATGCCTAGGAATGATGATGATGACAAGATCAGCATTTCGTTGCGGAAAAGCACCAACGTATCTCGAAAACGATGTCGTGAAGAGTGTAGAAAGATTCACCGGAGAATTCAAGTCATGCAACCCAATGTAACCATAGTTTAACTGCTTATCATCGCCTCTGCGTTTCTTCTTGATCATTCGTTGATTACAATAGCAGTAGTACAATTTATTTTTGCACTGCACCCTGAGCCCTTCTGTCCAAATTAGGAATCCATGAGACGCTTACCTCTGGCGTTTTGCGTAAAGCCAATAGTATTTTCAGGCACCACTTTTTATGTTACGGTTTCAAAATTTCACCTCAAATAAACCTTTGTTCACCACGTTTGAGACCAATTTAGTATATGTCCTACAGACATGTATCTAGACTCAATACCAGTAACAAAAAGTGGTAATTTTTGAAAGTTAAGTAACAGGCGAAAAACCTAACCGATACCAAAGAAGGATGAACCAATGTCTCTTGTGGATGCCTTCATTTTACATTCAGGAGAGGTGATAATCGAGCCAGTGTCGGGTATGTTGAGCGCACAACCAAGAGTAGCTGTCTTAGTTCTAGATTCCTCAGTCGAGATACGCACTGTACGTTTGTTAAAAAAGATATGCATTGTATTGCATCTCATTTCATTTTTCATCTATCACGTTTTGAGTGATAAAACTTGTGGCGTTGGCTTCAATTTATTGAGAACGCCAGTTAGGCTTTGATTCAATAATATGAATCGAATGAATGCATTTTAACACCAAAAGCTCTATCTTTTGAGCTGTGTATCTAATGAGTCTTCTGGTAACCAGATCACAACATTTGTGCCCCGGCAATAACAAAATAATACCAGGAAGATCTTGGCTTCGTGAGTGATTCCATATTGATGAGGCGCCGTAAAGTCGCTGAAGAGGCGCTGAAGAGTCTCGGTGATCAGAATTAGCTCACTTATTTTGATTTTCGCTTCTAATTTGGTCTATCGGTGGGTGTTATGTATACCCCTTTGTAGAATGACAAATCGATTGATATTCGTGATATTGACACAGTTTGAACAAACGTTTGATGAGGAGAAACCCGTTATTCTATAACACTTATGTTTCAAGAAAATTTGGGCAGTGCTAACCGCTCCTACGACGAAGATGCTAGTTCTTGTGATTGTTTCCAATGAGTCGACTAAAAAGGAGTTCCTAAATGCTTCAAGAAATAATGTCATCTTCTTAAAAACACTACGCGATGCGCAGCAAGCAACGAAACTTCAGAGTTGCAGAAAGTGACCATTTTGGGCCGGCCGAGTAACCGCATTCGGTTCCACGTTTGACTTTCTCCACACGTTAGCATTAGACATCGTGTGTTCCAAGCGTAAATAGGCTGGATGACAAACAACTAGAAAATAACAAAGTTTCACCCGAATCACAAAGTCTGTGAGTAGTGTGATCTATTCACCGTCCAAATAATGCAGTGCACCAACGATTTGCATGCGGATTCGTGTGCCGAAGAGGAACCAGTGAGTTCATGGATGATCTGATGGTTATCGGTGAGTCACCAAATTATTTAACATGCGAAAAGCTGACGACTGCCAGGACCATTCAGAAAGTAAGCTGATCGGGTGAACAGTCACAAACCTTCTCTGCTAGGCGTGATAGGTGCTGGCGACTGAATGAGCGGCTGAAGAGACGGTTGAATAGGCGGCTGCACGGCAGGTTCTGTTTACCCCAGTATGTTCCAAGATTGTGGTGAACAAGAAAATGTTTCGCATTTAATTATAGTCAATCTAATGAAAGCTCAAGTCGTTGGAAGAAACAGGACAAGCGGTGTAGATGTGTGATATTCTAGGCTGCATTCACTATATGGGGACTACGAGCCTGGGTGATGCGATCAAGGTGGAGTGCAATAGTGAACCACACAACGCCGGGCCTTGCTTTACGCGAAATATAGCTATTTAGCGGCGCAGAACATGTGACGTTACTTATCAAGACCGCTAACGTACGTGTAAGGGGGAGGTGTTGTGAAGATACACGAGGCCGTGGACGAGGCTCTGCAACACAGGTGTAGAATGGAACCCATCTGGATGCACCCTTCCGAATTTGAGGATACCATTTTCGGAGGAAATTCAAAGAATACGACCTAAGCTATTACTGGCATCCGAGTTCTGTTTGAAGACACTTTGCTGACGCGCTCTGTTCCTCATTACATATCCACGGATGCCAAACGGTTTCCCATTCGGATTTGTGATACACACGAAAGTGTGTAGCTTATGGAATACTTGCAATTATAATATGATCAGCTATTGATTCCATGCTGGGGCATTTAGTCAGGTATATCTGATGGGCACAGTTGGCACAAAGTATCCACAACCTAAAACTTCTTTTAAGAAATGAATTTTGCTGGACAGTGTTGTTAGGCCGAAGAAAATTGGGGCATGTTTACGGATAACGTCACTTACTCGGTCCGACCATTACACCAAAAGGCGAGTTGGGGATTTGCTGACCCGCGAAGAACACATTGACCGAGTGCAAACCTTCATCTCTGGGAGTGTATTCCACCAGATAGTTATCTTCGCCTTGTTTGGTTATGACCGGCTTGATTGAGTCACGACCTCCATGTGGATCCAGTATGACGCAGTCCACATTTCCAGGGCCAGCGGCTAAAGCATGGAATAGTGGATTTCGGTAAAGATTTGTCAGCTACGGACTTTCTCAATATAAAATACAGAGTGGGGAATGCTGATAGGGGGTTTTGGGGACATGTATCGAGCCTTCTCCAATGTAACCCAGGTATTCAAGCGACTAAGAAGGTCCTACTATGTACCGTCAAATATTTACACTAAACGGAAGTCCAAAGGAATGAATTATGGCATCGCAGACGATCCCATCGGTTGCTTATCAATCTGGCAACTATCGAAGCTACCAGAGGCCTGAGTTACGTGAGCAATGGTAAATAAACGAACTCACCTTTTACTGTTCTTGCCTCATTCAGGGTAGAAGGACCGATAGAAAGATACTTTTGGGAGGATACTCGGCCACCTCTAGTCCATATGTCCCTAGTATGTCTTTTCCTGTCCACTATGTTCCTCAATTCCCCGTTTCCTGGTCATTGCAGACGCCTCTTGATAACGAGTAATCCGTAGCCTTACTTTGATTGTATCATTGTCTGAGGACAGGAACTAATTTTTAAAAAAACAAAAGCACTTCCTGTTACCATTTGCAAGTCAGCTGGTCTACAACTTTCTCGGTGGTGTGAAAGAAACTCGAGTGTCACCGGAGGGTTTCCGTTGTCACTGCCTAGTTATCCGTTCAGCGGGGTCAAGAAGACGTAAATCACAATGTCGACCGTACAAAAAACAGTGTCATATTGTTGACTGGTTCAAGTCTATTTTGTGCCCATATTTTACTTTGTTCTTGATCTGGTTGTTTAGTAACCCAACCTGTAACGCAAGAAACTACACAAACGGGTCACAGGATGACACTCAAACGGACAACATTTAGGGATCACACAAGGGACACACGCAAGGTTTTCTACGTCCTCAACTCACCCTCAATATTCGTGGCTGCTAAAAGTGACAGGAGTCAGAATAACAGAAGTCAAAAGTGCCCATTCACTCAACCAATCAAAATGATAGTTTCAACAGGCCTCATATTGGTAAAACCATGAAAAAAACAAGATGGCAATACAACGGTGATCATTCGATTCTTCTAAAATGTGCATAAGTAACATTAAATTTCAGGACATATGCTAATTTTTACTTGCATCACGGTTTGACAAATGAAATTGTCGTTTTCACAATACGGACGACTTGAGCAAGTCTATTCATCGTTCTCTGTTCCAGAAAGCGCAGGAATTAGCTTTATTTAGTATTTTGAAATGTTTTAGCTGAATTTCACTTGTAAATTATTATATCCTGTAAAATTGAAGTAGCATATTTGGAAGAACTGTTAAGAGCCTACGGCTGTTTCATTCTTATCGAACTAGTGACAAGCACGGAACAGTCAACAATTCACAAAGGCCCTTTTTATAAGTAGGTTTCGTCCGAGCTTCCAGTAAATACGGAATTTCAAGATGTGAATCCCAGCACTACAATAAAAGTGGACCTATATTCTACTTACAAACAAGTTCGTCTCACTGCTAATCCAAAGAAGACAAGTTATACGTAGGCGAAACCGAAATTCTAGCTTCCTTGAAATGTTTAACTGTCTTTATTTCTCAGGTACGAACTGAAGGTCGTAGCCTCTAAGGGCGCGTTTCTTCTGAATCAACCCTGGTCCCTTTCTTGAAAATTGTTTTTCTAAATAAAATATTTCACATAGTTCCAAACTTATCTTTATGGGTAGAAACCCGGGTGAAAAACGGTGTACGAAACAAAAGAGTATATTCGTCTAACCGATGAGGTGATTCCATTTCATCTGCATCATCAAGATTCTGAGATATTCCCATCCGAACCTCTCAGTACTTGTTTGGTCATGAGGGTTGGCAGAAAAAATAGTGTCAATCGGGAAGGAGCGAAAAAGCGATATCAGGCTGCACTCAAAGTGCAATTGGGAAATGCATTCCTGACATGCTTTTAAGGTAATCGTGGAAGTATGGATACACTATTCAGGCAGACGTTTAGGACAAGACAGTCGAGGTGGTGCGTGGAATTCATCATCTTTTACTAGAGTACTTGTTCGCACTTTTTTATTAGAGCTAACTAACATGCTCCAGTGAATCAGCAGAGAAATACCTTTGGGAACGATGCAATGAAACTCTCATCCAGCCAAATTTAATCACAAAATGAACGAGACATTGTGTAATGCGAGGTCCCTCAAAAGAAAAGCCATTCAATGGATGTCGCTGTGGCAACTCGGCACATCGGAAGAATCCTAAAAAGGTCATTTTCTGAATCCGTTGTGCAAAATTCTGACTCATTATTCACCCCCTTGGAACAAATTTAGCGAAAAACATCCACTAGATTAATAAAGATTGTTTAAAGGTTGTGTATCACGGCCTAGAGCTAACACACAAGGGATGGTTTTTGTTTCAAGGGCTGCAACGATCCTTCGGAATACACTGACTAGATCTTCGTTTCGCAATCGGAAACTATACCAAGGAGGTCAAAACGGCAGCAGAAATAGCCACTTATACGAGCAATCACATTATGGGGCGGTCTGCAGCAAAGCCATTCTGCTCCCTGCGATGAGTGGTTTGTTTTCAAAAAAAATTTGAAAGCCTTCCTCAAGGAATTTAAAAAACCTCGGCCGAAAAAAACCCATTGGTTGGCCGTGGCGGCCGGTGAGTTATCCACTAGTTTGAAGAACCACAAAGCCTCGCAATGAGCTCAGGGCGGCTCCAAATAAATGTACTGTCATCCTTACTGTTGATATGAATGTCGAACTCGGTCATTTGTGTTCGCTGGAATCACACCTGGATGGTCGATTCGGAGTCGGTGCTCACCGCACAAACGACGGACGGCGACTCATTCAGTTATGTTTTGACAATCAGCTGTTTCCGAACTGCGAGAATTTTCAACAGTCGCTTACACCGTATAACTCGTTGGCTACCAACTGCAAATCAACCGTGGACCCATTTCAGTCACCGATAGAGAGCGGAAGTTCAAGGACACCGTTATTTCTGGAGCATATAACGTCATTGCGATTACGTCATAATGCAAACACCTTTGAAAGCTGACTTCCTCCGGCCTTCGCAAGTCATGAAGAAGCATACAAATCCACTATTTTCGGAGAACCACCATAGCTGAGCAGTATCTATTTAGCTAGCTCAACTACTCTCTTCAACAAGCGAACACGACACATGTGACATGAACGTGCATGAGGTATGAGAAAATGAGGAAGGAGCTACGTTAGTGACGTTCAGATCTGTCTGTCCGCTGGATAACTCCGAGATCCAGACCAACGGATAACCGGTGCGACGACGCACGAAAATCAGCCGAATGCGAACCAGTGAAGAGCTCAGCAAAGGATCAAGGGATCTGATAGACCGTGCAAGCTCAGTTATGGTGGCCTCACCAACATCCGTAACGAGCTTTTCTCTGAAACACGTATTTTTCTCATCTTAAGAGGGATTATTTGAGGAAGATTGTCCAGGGATACATTTTTGCTTCAGGCTTGTAATGCAGCACAATATTATTGTCGGAATAAATTTGCATTAAGTTATTTTTGCCTTAGGGTTAGTGACGGGTATTAGAATGATACACTAGCTTGTCACACTGTTTTCATAAAAATAGCAGCACCAAACAGTGTAGAATTATCTCGACTGGGCTTTCTGGGGCGAAAGAACCAAGGCTGAGTGTAATAACAGGATATATGTAATTGTAGCCCCCAACCTACTTTCTAATGAGAATTTGATTAAAAACATTGGTTTTACATGCGCTGACCACGCAGTTACCGATGTTACTTTTTCAATCTACATACTAGTTTAGAGTATCCGTGTAAGCTTTTCTCTAGTAAACACGGGTGCACTACGTGGATGTTGTTCATCCTGAAAACAAATTACACTGTAGAATATCTAGGATGGAATCGAAGCAAATTATAGGAATGTCAATGCAAATTTGTTTTTTTTTGATAGAAAAAGGCCATTGGACAACAAATCAAGGTCCAAAGCCGAACAAATTAGAGGGCTCAATGGAGTGGTTTGTAAGACTAAGAGTGGAGCAGGGTTTCTGGCATCCTGGGCAGTAGTTGGCCACCGTGTTCGGTCGGTAACTTCATATTTTCCTTTTTAAGTTATGAGGAACACAGGATTGAAAATTGCCACTGAAATGAGCTAAGTTATGGTTCCCTGAATTCCAAGGTCTATTCATAGGCTTGACTAATATTGCAACGAGATCACTTTTGCCCAGCCACGTTTTCTAGAGACTAGCGGATTGCGTTTTGTGCAATGTTTAGTGGAAGCCTAGGTGAGCAGCGACACCACGGGCTTGGCTTATGGCCACTGGATGTACTATACTATGGTATGTCGGAATGAACATGTTTGTTTTAACGAAGTAGGCGAACCACATAGACTCGCTATTCACAGCGAAGTAAGGTCCCCCCTCCAGCAAGCTCAAGCAAGGCTAGTGTAAAAGTACATAGTGATAAAACAATTGTTTGAAGCTTTGCGTCACCAAATTAGCAAATTTGAGGGAATAAAGGAATGGAGTGCGTCTTCTGCTTACGATGATTTCTGCTGCTCGCGTGACCAAGAGGGTAAGACCGGCAATTATCATTTCAATGACACGAGTTTAAACTCAAAGAGGTTATCTTCCTATTGCCTTCTGGCTCTCGTATATATAACCAGCACACACAGAAAGAAATCTTGAAATACCTACTTAGAAGCGAGCACAAAGATTTCCGTGTATTTAAGCTATCTACTTGGCTCCATCAAATTCGTCCAGAACATACTAATATTTGGATGGAATCATTTCAGCCTTTGCTTGCGTTTGGTGAAGTTTAATGACGTTTTTACGATAAAACTTATGTTTTGCTCCTTCATGTCCATTTGACCATATTTTATGGCACCAACGATAGGTTAATGAAGCTCTTCTATTTGAATGAGCTATCCTTATATTTCTCAATGCATTGCAACGGTTATTAAGGCCAACATGTACGCTCCTTTTGCCTTAAGTGCAGTTTTGATTGCATCGAAAATCCAAATGGTTACCACACCACCAACCTGCTGTGAAAATGTTGAAGAATGTTCTTCTTCCGGCCTGGTTACCCTGAGGTTCAATACCCGGTCCAGAGGCTGTTGCTTTACTTGCATCCCCGGCTGCACCTTCGACCATCACCTTGAAAGGAGAGTTGAGAATCTCTTTGGTAGCAAATTTGATGATCACACGATACTCGCCCTCCTGAGTTGGTACATAGGCACACGAGTATGTCTGTTGTCGGTCGTTGTTGGTGAGAATTTCGCACTGAAATTGAAGAGTGAGAAGTTAGTTTGTTTACCTTCACAAGGCTATCTGGAGCAGTAATTTATCACGCTTTAAACCGATAGCTTAGTGGCAGTGATTGCCCCTTGAGTAGAGTTTAGTTTTGCCTATAGCCATCCTTACGTAGTAGCACCCAAAAGTTTGGGTATTATGGTCAGAGTAATCCTGCAGATAGACCACGAACAGGGAAAGAGACATCTGCAGGCGGGAAATTTCTTCGTTTAGAGGTCCTATAAGAGGCTTTGGCTGAGGGATAACCCTGTTTTGAGCCATAAAAGTGCCTCGTCCGTTGAATTATTCAAATTAGTAGCATGACCTTTCCATAATTATGACGTGATCTTTTAAGATTAAGTAAGTAAGTAAAATCACTTGTACCTAGACAAACACCAACGTAGTCTGGCACACAGATTATATGTCCAAAACCCAAACAAAGGGCTTGTTGCTCGTTTCCTGTATTCGAGGCACTGTCTACGCGTCTCACGGTTCGGCAAATCTAAGGAGGTGACAGGTTCTTAGTTAAAAACGTTTCAGCGGTTTCCAGGTTAGGATACAGTTCTCGGCTGTAAAATCTACGACGGGCGCAGAGATAATGGCAAAATTACATACCCCGGAAACGTCCACGTATAAATTAACGTGAGAACAGTTGACATTTTGTTTGTAGTTAACGATGCGAATAGAGCAATTTCTTCAATAAAAACATCCATAGAATGACTACGGAAAGCGAAGACCCCCTCGCTAACGTTACAGTTACCGTTTTCAACTAGCGTTTTTTTATGTAGCACTTAAACTGCACGTTGCATAGTGCTTGCTATCCAGTGGTTTGATAGGATCAAACACTTGCAAAGAATTGGAACACAGAATAACTAAACCCTCCTACCAACCGTATGCAAGGGATGTTTATTCATGACTGATTACACCAAAGATTTGCCGAGCATTTTTGTTTACAGGTTAGGTACACAGCACCTTTCAATGTGTTACACGCACGTCAGAAACAAATCGGCGACTATGCGATTTGAACAGATGATAAGTTTGCGCACAGGTACGATAATTTAATGATCGGGGGCCATCAGTGTCGACTCGAGACATAGCAACAAAACCGGTGCATAAAATATAATGCGTCATGTCATAAATATTGGTTCGAGCTTTGCATTTATTCGGAAGAGTATGTCAAATGAGTAGGACTTACCGGTTCTCGTTGACCCTTGGGATTGAGTACAATAACTTCAACTTGACCGCGACCAGCGCTGAAGGTATCGATTGTGAACCGAGCAGGATTCCCCACTGTGTTACCATGGGGTTGTAGACCTGAACGTTATAGGCAAAACAGATATGCATGTGTACATCACATACGTTTATGAAATTACTCACTGGCTACACCTTCGACAGCTGGTCGACAAGTTTACTGTATCATGGAGATCACCGGATTCCAGTCTTCCGGCTAGATGGGTAAACTTATTACCTGACTGTTGCGGAAAGTACAGTCGACATTCCACTTATTCACTGGGTGGTTTTTACAATAGTGGAGATGTGACTTTCAGAAATTGAGGGTTTCGCGTGTTGTTTATACTGAGTGATTGGTTCACTTGGTGTGTTTTCTCAAACAGTACAGCGGTTGCTGAAGGATGGCAGCTATTCGAAATCCACATTTAAGAATGAAAAAACATGTCTTCGTTGCAAATGACCTGTCAAACCGTCTGACAAATTTTTTCTGTATAAACTAACGGAAACTCGGAATCACTCTAATAGATTGAACTTAAGAACGCGCTTAGGCTTTCCACCTGGTTGTGTATACTTTCATCGACTGAGACGGCACGCATTGGACAGTGCATTATTTTATGAATGATATTCAGCGTTCACAGCTCCCAAAACGACGCTGCACCTAATATACAATCCACGTTATATTCTTCCATGTTTTAGATGTTCGGGATTCACATTGTTTAGCGTGGTGAAATTTGTGACATGTGAAACTCAGAAACACAAGTTAAAAAGCATAGCGTTCACTATTTTTGGAGCTAAAGATGTGAAGTTCAGTGGTACGGATGCATCTGCTACACCTTCGGGATCATGTTCTCAGTTGCGCGAATGACACAATCATCTATGTTCCCTGATTAATTTACGTTGGTGTTATCGTAAAAAAGAAAGATATGAGTTAAGTGTTTTGATAGAAATACGCAGGCCAGTTTGATTTTGTGATATATTAATCGATTATTCTTCTAATCGTGGACTAAATGTGGAGAGGGCAATCAAACACCGTAGAACCGGAAAAGGGTGGTGGGTACAGTCCATATTAGTCACATGGTGCTAATATGGGAAAGAAATTAGCTACGCCTGAAGTACACGTATAGTACTAAAATAGAGAATGGAAAAAGACTGAACGAACGTGAAAAAACGACGAGGGAAGCCGATGTTACAAGAACGCCTCCAACTTTACACCTATTTTTGCCAAGCAGTTTGAAATGAAGGAAATCGGTATATTGTCTTTTACAGGCATTTCTGTTTTTTTTTCAGCAGGCCTATCAAGTCAGGTCCCGGGAATGTGGAATATTTAGATAGTGTTTGATTCATTTGTGCAAATTATCTCTTCTGAATTCCAAACGTATGTCCACCCTTTGTTGTTGATTTGTAGCCTGGATAACGTAGAGGAAATCGTGAAGACCCTTCCGTTTCAGTCACTTTAAGTACGAGTTAGTCACATTGCAGTTCAGCCGTACCATTAACTTTTCAGACTATTAGGAAATATTCAGAGGTCGCGGCTTCAAGACCTATGAATTCCACTCACCCCGCTACCAGTGATGGCGGAAGAAAACCCTATTAACTACGCCGGTTAAAGGGATACGTCACTTTATCCACTTAGTTGATGGGCGATTTGACGCAAAAAATACGTTCTTTTTTCTGAATTGCACTGCTTTTCTAACCGCACAATGTGTTCGGGGAGAACAACGTAAAGTTGTTTGGCGCAAAGCTGAAATATGAGACGTCATCATGCTATTCGGACTGGTTATACCAGCAGTGCAGACGTTTCCATTAATGTATAGTGCTGTTTTCAATTCGATTAGAAGTGAAACAGAACAGCATGCATACTGAATATCCACGGAACTGTCTGTTACTTCAATTAATTTAGTTTAGGACGATCTTTAACCTCTTCTAGTGTGCAGAGACACTCATTATTTTATATTTCACGCGCACAAGGGACAATAAATACCAGGAGTGGAGAAATAAGAAAGCTATAATGGTTAGACAGGATTTTACCAGGGTTAGAATGTCAGTGGGTAGAAGTGGCTTTGCACAGACTTCTATTTTTTTGCAATAAAAAACACCTAATCAAAACCTGTTCGTGCACATCCAAATTCATTCTGAATGTGGATGAAACACAATCTGCACACGGGTTATCTTTACTTCGTCTTTTGTATCGTCCGAAAACTGGAGTTTACAGTTGACGAATACATTGTGTACCATGAAAACTGACAGAATAAGGGTTTCAGAATGCAACTGAGCAGTAATCGTGAATACCAGACTGTTTATGAAGGGAAAGTATAGATCTGTCAGATTGTCACTTCATGTCTGTCGGATAGTCCGGTCGGTCTATCGCCCATTCCATTACTGTTGTAAGTGGATTGTGAGAAATAGTTGAGTCTATGGTAACAACAAAGTGCGCACATGCTTCTTCCAAATTCAACCGCCACTAGCAACCATTGTCTGTATCTTTTGACCGGTGTAATGGTACTCGACGCATGACTTTCAGAGACGTTTTGGCATCAATTTGATAACCAGTGTCCAACACGTGAGCTAGCACGGAACTGGGGTCGGCTTAACGGCAGTTTGTAGCTGGTTTTTCTCAGCAATCTTTTGGGATGAGCCTAAACAAGGCAGTTTACAGCAGCAGGAGAGTGAGTCCAGCAGTGCAGAGTGCTTATTTTGAACATATGGGCATAGATTAGTCGGCTAGTAAACACTGTTCTTTATTGCCTTTCTCAGTAGGACTGTCTTAAAAGCTGGACTTTCTACTGAATAAGTACCTGCAAAGAAAGATTTTGTAGAAACCAGCATTCCCTCAATGGTTATTGCGAATATTTTACGTTTATGCACCTTTTAAATTTTAGAAAAATAAACATTTTCCCTCAAATTTTTATACAGGTCTATTAAAACGTATTCGATTTTTAAAAATAGGTTTTCTGTTCACGTTTCTTCATGAGGGGCTTTAAATTGTGGATTTCCTTGTGATTTCCTATCTACTCCAGAGTACACACTAGACTGAACTAAAATATTTGTGTTTTGCTTGGGGATAACATCGTTGAAGGGCGAACCGTAAACCTTTCCTCCTATCGTAAAGTAAAAAGCAGCACATCATTTGGCAAACGGAGTTTGAAAACGAGTATCCTCCGATATGCAAACAGCGACAAGCAATCCAAAAATTATTCTACGTTGGAACTGATGGTGTTGGTCCGGTTTACACTTGAAATTAATCTAAATCATAAAGGAAACTACTCATAAGGTTGCTGAAAACTCTTAGACAGTCCACGACCGGTTTCGCCCTTCTTGGGGCTCATCAGGTAGGCGCAGCCCCCGAGTTTCCGTCAACCTCATGATCTACTTGAACCCAAATAGCACTGTTTTCGAGAAATACACTCATCTGCAAATCAATTTGGTTTTCACGGGAGACTCAATTAAATCTCTCGTTTATGATGTCTTCCAGCTGAATGTGCTGCACACAGGCCGCCTCATGTGCAGCACATTCAGCTGGAGGACATCATAAACGAGAGATTCAATTGAGTCTCCCGTTAATACCAAATTAATCTAAATCACCTTAACTAACTTATTACTAAAATTAGCAAAACGTAATGAAATAATCCGAGTTTCCAGTAACCTTATGAGTAGCGCACTACAAAATGGATATGCATCGCGATATCTCGAATATCGTAGCGACTGAAATATGAGGCGGCCTGGAAAAATAAAAACCGAGAGATTCAGCTGGGTTCCAGGTGAGTCTCCCGAAAAACCAAATTAGTTTGCAAATGAGTGCATATTCACCGATGGTAAGCTGTTTCAGTATGTGGCAAATTACAATACATATACGGACAATTTGGGTACAAGACTTCTCGCAGAACTGAATGCTGCTTTCTGCATATTCTTCACTTAACCGGTGTTGAGATCTATGCTGAGTATCCTGATCGGTATCAAAGTTACAGTTCTTGTTTGTAATCATAGCCAACTGAAACGTTAAAAAAACTTGGGCGGCCTTTTATTAGCATTTGAGTCGAACCGCCATGTGCTTGCGTGTGCGTGTAGATGCCGAAATCTCCGTTAAAATCGCGGTCGTCCCCAGTGCGGTTTTTCATCATTCTAACTAGATTGGCGTCGACCAGATATTGAGGAAATGTGAACGCACAAAATGTGCCCATCTGTTAGTGAATGAACCATGGACTCAAGACGTTTTTAACACAATTCCAAATGAAACTGATGAATTCAGACTACCTTGTTTGGGAACACTAGGTACAACTCTTTTCGCCATCTTTACTCTTCTAATATCACTTGTTTGTTTCGATTGGCGTTAGTTCAATCATCCAATAGTTTTTATATTATAATAGATGTGCTACCGCAACGCTTTGCAAGTCGGAATAAATTTCTGTTAATTCGTGATACCATATTGGGAAACCCAAGATTCTTCTCCTCTTCAGACGTGTCCGCCTTGTTGTTGTTTCTGTCAAGCCTTGGACAAGAACAGTAAAATTTCGTATTAATGCAAGTCAGCATTCCGTTTACGGGCTGGTAATCCGGTGAGTACATCGCACTACATGATGCTGGTGTATACAACGGTATTGCATCTACACGCCATTTAACGTAGTCCTGCCTGATATCAGTGCAGGGTTTTCGCATGAAAAATGAGTCTATCTAAAGCTGTCAAGTAACTGAAGATATGCGAGGAGTTGGGAACTAGAGCACAAGACCCTAGGTGTCTTGCGTTCGCTGTTAGCACACAGATAATTGTTACGTAAATAAACACAAAGACGATATGAGGGGAAAGATATTTCCATAAATAACGTTCAGAAGTTGTTTTCTGTTAACCGATATGCTTCAATCCCTGGATGTGAATTGCAGTCAAATGGTTTCGTGTCCAGCTGATCAATTGCTGAAGAGTGAAGAGAATGGTTCAACAGCACCTCCATTTGATTACGCTGGCATTTTAACATACGAAACCCACGAATACTCAATAGACAGACAAAAGCCAAATTGAAAATCGCGGGTAGACTTCTTACAAAAACGTCAAGATACTGCTTGGGAACCCATGAAGGATGTGGTGAGTGCTTCTCAAAATGAAGACAATACTGCATAAAAATACGTGAGGTTATGGAAGATTTAGCCTGTGGACTCAATCCACCTGTGATTGAGACTGAAGTGTGTAAAGTATCACAATACTTGACAGGAGGAATAGAAGACAAGGTGGTACTCGGTGATAAGACGAATGTTATCTTCAAAGTTCCTGATGAAAGAGAGACTTTTGGCTAGAGTAACCAGAATGACTCGGTGATGGTCTGTGTATTGAGTGTTACTAAGCGATATCAGGGGTCAGCTCTAGATGGAACGTGAAATACAGAATGGTATGTATTGACGCTGAATTCTCATCCGTTTCTGATCACTATTGATGGCTTCTAAGTGGATTTATCTTTTCGATTTGTTAATGCTTCCAAACACTGCCTAACCTACAGAATTTTCAAATGTTAAACTACAGTACGTAGTTATTAAATCGGCCAGCTCATAAGCAGGATCTGAAAGCATTTTAGAACGTTTGAAGAACTGCGATCAGGCCAGTTCCTGAAGATAACCGCACTATCTGCATAAATAAAAAAATGACGGCTGAAGATATTTTGGCAACATGTTAGTTTATTGTGAATTAAACATGTCCGAGCTTAGCTTGTGTTGGAACAACGGCGTTACAGCTCCTAGTTTATTTTGTACAACATGCTCAGAAATTAGAAAACACTTACAAGCTAGGTGAAGTTGAATGAACTCGTTTAAAAATTTTAGTGACATATTTGGGACTAACAAAAGTACGTGGGACTAATCAGTGGCCATGATGGTATTGAGCGTAACGTAAAAACTCCGATACCAAGAGAGCATCTCTATAACAGAAAGTCGTGATTCATAAAAGTGGCTTGTCAAAAGATATCACAGACGTGGTTTTATTTTTTTAAGATCTGAAAATGCATCTAAAGTCCGTCACCCAACTAGCCGAAAACGACCCAGAGACAGAAGGTTGCCATCTTCAACTTACTGAACCAAATAAAGAAATGTTTTCTATTTTCTATTTTTCAGTCTAAAGTCACGTGGATTTAGTATTTCAAAAATGGATAACACGCCGCTCTAGAATTCAACATAAGACGAAGAGCAAAGTCAATCAACACTTCAATATTCACGGTGTAGATCTAATGGGTGTAGGGATAAAATTACCTCAGGTAATAGGAGACCAAACCTGTAGAACAAAGACCTGTTGAAAAAAATGAATAAAGTATGCGGGGCTGCCTTGTACAAATTTTGAGTCCTTTCAGAAATTATTGTCGCGCTGATTTTTTTATTCGCCTGAATAGTTAAGTGTACAGCAGTGCTAAAATAGCCATCACCGTTGCTTCGGTTCCCTAGGCAACCTCTTACTGAAGGAACCCCCTGCCAACAATTGGTGTTGTCGTGTCTCGCGGTCGGTTTATATTGTTCTTAGGTCATTCTCCTGAAATGCCATCGTGGAAATACTATTCACCAGACCAGACCAGGGATGGGTTTTGTCGTTTGCGAAACACGTCAGAGGAAATAAGCCAGCGGCAGTGGTTCTTTAATTAACAAGCGGGATTTGATTGTGGAAACGTGAATTTGTGGGCGCATACCTTAGAAATTCATGGCCATATGTGAATAAAGTTGAGCGAGTTATATAATGGCATTTCAAATGCCCTTTTTTAACATCGACCGACAGTGATATCTCGCTAACTAATTCTTGTCACATTACTGACAATATGTGGAACTGTTCACGTTCTAAAAACTAAATAAAGGCACTAAACTAAAGTAAGCACCTGATTTTGCCCAGTGTTCAGAGGATCTGTTTAGCTGACCGGATATCTAAGAGTGAAATCACACACTCTGGATGTTAGGTGAACAACTGAATACGTTGAGGGATTTATCGTCAAGTCGACTATTAGGCAAGTACTTAAACGGCATTCAACAGCTGAATGCAGTGCTGTGGAGAACTGCATAAATACAAAAAGTTTGCAAACAGGACTGATGAGTACTAATGTTGAGCGGAGAGGACAAAAAATACTACATATATATTCACATCCGCAGTGCTCAATAACGTATTGAAATCACCCGTAGAAAGGAGAGCCGTCATTTCAAGTCACTACGTGATGTATAGGGGAAAATGTTTGTAGCTCAGGTAGCGTAGATATTCGTTGGCTTGTTCTCTGAGCTGGGCAGTTCGATTGCAAACGTTTCATCACCAATCGAGGGGACATCATCTGTGCTTTATTGAGGAGCGTAGTGGGGTGTAGCGGCGGATTAGTGGTAAACATCACTACGTGATGTCTTGTATATCCATATACCTAATATTTGAGGTGACCAAAGATGCAAAGTGATCTCTTGTGACCCATTTAATGAATGCCTATCGAACGGCAAGTTGTCGTGGACTACGTTTTGAGACCAGACACATCAGGGCCTAAACGACAGATTCAGTTTAACAACCCATAGACACCACCATAACTTGCGACTGAGTGTACTTCACTTGATGTACTCTGATTTTTTATGACCGGAGCTTATTTTGACTGAAATTTACCAGGAAGAAGGATAAACTGGAAGAAAACTCATTCCCTTTCAGAGGAGCTAAGGCCTGAGTAGCTGAAAACCACCGTTTTCCCGCATGCAGTTTCCATCGAGCGCACTATTTGGGTAGATGAATGTGTCCACCCGGGGCTCAATAGCATCGAACAAAGCTAAGTTAAATGGATCGTGTTGAGACAGTTGCAAGAATTTGAAATGGCCTAATTTACTCCGAGTTTACGTGATGTCTGTTCGAAAGGACCAACATTCGGTAAAAAAGGATCAGGAACGTATGCAAAATGGATCTGGTTATCAGCCGAAAACGCCGGGTGTATAAAGGCACACGTTAGTCAGAGGTCTAACTTCATTTGTTGATGCAGTGTGGCTGTAATTTTGAACAGTCCCGAGCGGAAAACGAATAAATACCTCTACTTACCTTTTGGACTTTGTTTAGGATTGTTCACTGAGGGTTTACGCTGTACAGCTTTTGTTTGGCTCAGTTTTTGAGCACTCATCTTGTGTCCGAAAAAGAACAGATAACATGAAAGGCTCTGTCGTCCCAGTGCGTACAACACACCAAGACCTTGACGTGGAGGTTCCCCGCCGGCAGACTGTTTGGCCCACTGGACCCGCCTGTGTTCCAAAGCCTGTGCAGGTGATTCTTGTGCTCCGGGATTTGCGTTACTTAAATCTACCGGTGGCAGTATGGCGGCAGCCAGAACTGTATGGTTTACATCCACTTCGATTAAATACTGAAAACCCACGGCCATTTGTTATTCGACTGAGAAGCAAACACATTTCCAGTTTAGTCACAATTAAGCGCCATTAAAAAGTCCAAACTTTTTCCAGTATGAAATTTACTCGTTGGAGTGAAAGTGCAACAGAATAGAGCTCCAGCTAACCGTGTGTGAGTGATTGTCATCAAGTACTGTGTATGAGTGAATAACAAACAGTACCTGCTTTGGTATGGATCGTTCTGATTGGCTGGCAAAATGGGAACAAATCAAAACGCCTCAGAAACCGGAAGCGATCGGACGGATTGTAATCCTACTCTCAAATGAACTAGCCAGTGCGTTCAGCCGTATTAGGCAAAGGCTAAGGTCAGTTACAATGGCCTAACATTATATGCTTAGAGCCTACCAGCTGATACTCACAAAGCATCCTTAGCCATTCGGACTTTGAGACATGTATTCCATATCGCTGAGATCAGCGGAGTCCGCTCCATGATACTACAACTTTTTAACTTTCTTTTATCTGCTGCAGCATGTTAAAGACGGAAAACTGTCTGTAGAAGAGCCGTCATCAAGCCCCTAAATACTGCCAAATCAGCTTTCGGTTTATTCAAGTTATCTGACTGCGAATGAGGCATCAACCTACGCTAGTTGAGTTGGGCTTTTTGAAACCGGGTCCAGAAAGACCTCGAACAGTATGCTAAGGACAAGTTTTTAAATACAAACTTCATTGGTCGTTGGCTTGTTCGCTGAGCTGGGCAATTTGGTTGCCCAGCTCTAGGAGAACCGGCTCGATCGTAGGCCATTCGTTGCTAACCAAACTGTGTTATTGTCAGAATACACTCGTCTAATAAACAGTTTAGTACGTACACCCCCCCCCCCAGAGGCCACTGTTGATTTACTGGTTGTAATTGAGCCTTCGTGGGTACATACCGTGCTAAGAGGGTGATGAAGAGAGGAACAGTACCGCTCATTTTATCAGTTTGGTATTTTGACACGATCCGTGTGACC